GCCGCCAAAAAGTATTGGCTCAGCTGCTTTTTTACAATATATGCAAAACTTTTTATTGTAATATTTTTCCGCCAATGTTTTATAAAAATATGGTTCATTCTACGAGAAAAACCATAAAAATGTAATTTCGAAACTTCGTGCAAAAGTCGGGAAAATTCAGAAAATTTTAAAATTTTTAACCAGATTTTATAGAATTTTCTTGAGTATGTAGCTTTGTAGCCCATTAAATTTTAGTATAGAAAATGCAAGTTCGGAGTTAGTCAAAAATCGCATTGATTTCTGAGATTTTTTTTTGTTGAAGGTGTTTTGCATTTTTTCCATATAAAGTATTTTCGTATAATTTTTTTTTTGTATGGAAGAGACTGCGTGAAAAAAATGCCAAAAATCAACGGTAATTCGTAGCTACTTAGAACTTCTACTTTATTAAAACAGGATTGATTGAACGTACTCAAAAAAATTCTAAAAAATCAGATTAAAAGTTTGAAAATTTGCTGAATTTTCTCGGGTTTTGCACAAAGTTTAGAAATTACACTTTTATGTTTTTTGTTGTAGAATGAACCAAGTTTGTATAAAAAATTGGCGGAAAAATATTAAAACAGAAATTGGTACATATATTGTAAAAAAGCAGCTGTGCCAATACTTTTTGCCGGCAGTGTATGCTCATATCTGTGTTCGTATGGAAAAGTAGCTTATGTCGAAAGGCCGGCTTTAGTATAATGCGGCATTCCCTTTATTTTTTAAACGACAAGGAATTTTTTGATGAGACTTAAAAAGAATATTGACTTGCTAGAATCGGAACTATTTCTTGCACGTTTATTTGCTTAAAGTTGTTTAACGGCTTAGCGCCCGTAAGTCATTCGCAATCGTATGCTGCGAATGCCGATTTATACTAAAGCCAGCCTTTCGACATAAGCTACTTTTCCATACGAACACAGATATATAGGTGATGTGACATTACAAACGAGTATGTATGGCGAATATAAAGCAAATATAAGCCATTATTTTTAAGTCGGACGGATTTCGTAAAAATGTGATATCATCTTCATCGCTTCAAATTTTTTTATGGGTTCTATACATAAAATAAAATTTAAAATTTCCCGTTTATTTAGCTTTAAAACGGCGTTTAAATGAAGTCTGTACGATGAGCAGAACCCGAGATATAACGATTTGAAGAAGTACATGATTAGTCAGAATCACGAAAGAATCCATTTTTTGACAGATCCGAAGAAAAAGATTTTAAAAATTTCCTCGAATATGTGTTAGCTTATTTCATGTATAGAACTTATAAAAAATATTAGAAGGGAAGTGTGACACCAAATTTGGTGTCTGGAATGAAAAAGAATGCCTCATATATGTAAGTATAAAGTAATTACTTTAGAGTTAATTGTGCTTTTGTCACAATATTGAGGGGAAAACGTTTATCTTAGTCGAGAACTATTCCGTGGAATTCCATGTGACAAACGCTTGCCATCGGAAACGCAACGCATCGGATTTTACCTTGCTTAGCTTGATAAAAAAAAATACAATTTCCATGTAAAAATTAGTGCCACACGTTTATTAAATCATTTAATAATTTAATTGAAATGAACTTCCATGTCAATAGATATTTATATTAATTAGCGTGCTTTTAAGAAAGGCGCGGAAATACTCAAATTCGTGTTGGCGAAACGTTAATCTGATTAATCGAAAGTAATTTTCGAAGTATTTCTAGTATTAAAATGGTTTGGAATACAGTTTTTCAGTGAGTGACTGATAAAAATTTGATGAAATGGAAGCTGGCGACTGCCACAGTCTTCAGTTTCTTTAGCCATTCAAATTTTCTATCAGTCACTATTAACACTTGGCTAAGGAATCATCCTGTTTAATCAAAACGATTTACTGCCTAAAGCCCGTTCCGCGTGAAGGAGCTTACAGGAGGCGCGGGGTCTTGTAAGCCATTTACAACTGTTTGGAAAATCTAAAAACGTTGGAAACCGATTATGATATCATCCAGACCGGCCGATTTGTAGCTGTTAAAGTATGCAATAGCCTGTCTTAAGATGTTAACCGTAGTCAAGACATTGAATCCACATACGCGTGTGTGGCTCTTAGTTGGGGTTTACTAAGCAGCATCGTCAGCTGTCTACTCCAAAGACAAGTAGACACCTAAAAATGCTGTATGTTTTTTTTGTTAACCCCACAATATGATAGCAAGAAATTTTCGAGTCATCCGACTCGGACGAGGCCGGGAAGAAGACCGTTTAAAGCCTGGCAGAAACAGCCTTACCCTCACTTACCGCGGCTATGCCAGAGCTTACGGTTGAAACCAGAGTAGCCGTGGCGCAAGAAATCAGTTTTGCCGAGGTCAGCTTTTTCCGCCCTTGTCTCCATTTCATGAACTCAGTGAAATCGACCTTCCCCGCATAAACTTCCGCTACGGCAAAGTCATTCCCCTCTCCGCCATGCTGTGCTTCCTTGCGGGAGACACTTGTGATGACTGAGCCCTCCAGAATACATAATCCTGCCGCAAGTGCGGGTATATTTCAACTCATGTGGGTACTACCGGGAGTAAAATTCTTAAGTTTATCCATAATATGGTTTGGCAGTTTAACCCAACTGCTCCCTAGTTTAGCTCTCCTGGCACAGTGGTCAGTGTTTCTGAGGGTATTTTTCCTGCCGTTCTCCGAATTCTCTCGACGCGCAGAGGCGGGTGAGTCGCACCAGTGGATATTTGTCGCCTTTTACGAAATACATAGCTTACTGTGGATATATTCTAAGGTCCTACTCCACAGGGCGAACGCCAACTATACTAACCAAAAGTGACAGTTTGAAAACAAATTTAATTTAAATCGGTAGTTTTTGTTTTTGCATGCCACTCAATACTTATTTAATCTTAACCCTTTGTAAGGAGATATATATATGTACATATGTATGTTTAAAACTGATTTATATACTCGCATAAAAAAAAGCGTCGTCGACATTTCCATCAACATAAACAAACAATCTGAGAACGGACAAGCTGTGTGCGCAAATGCATGTACATTAGGGTGGTCCAAAAATGCACGCGAAAAAGTAAAGTCAGAATTTTTATGCTCTCACCCCCTAGGATTGTTCTATACCGAAAAAAATATATCCCTATATTTTTTTTATTTTGAAATCAAAAAATATTTAGAGGTCGCTCAAAGCGCCCAAAGTCTTACATGTATGTATTTTATATGGGGAAAACAACTCTTCGTAGAAATGGTATAGAATTCTTAAGAATCAATATTTTTCTATCGGAAAACTCTGTTTATCTGCAGGAGATTCCTAGTAATAATACCCAATTGTTTATTTAACAAATTTTTCATCGCAACTTTAACTTATAGGTTCGCCAAAAACCCACAAAAGCCCCGAAAAATGCAATGGGCGGACAAAAAAAAATTGTTAGTGTCAAAAAATGGTTAAATAAACAATTGGGTATTGTTATTGAAGGCCTTCTGATTTCAAAAAAAAAAAAATAAGGATATACTTTTTTCGGTATAGAGCAATCCTAGGGGGGAGAGCATTACAATTTCGAAATTACTGTTTTTGGACCACCCTAATGCATATACATTAGGGTACCTCAGCAAAAACATCAAAACTTATTGTACTTAGACTTCCGTTAAAATATTTCGATTTTACATTTTAAGATTTGTATACGCGAGCTAGATAAATTTCAAAAGGCCTCCAAAAATCGTGTTTTTTTTATAAATAAACTTAGTTTTTAACAACATTTTTTTCCAAAAAATCCACTCAGATGGTAGAATGGTTGAAGCTTTAAATGTGTGCGTAAAAATGTTTGAAAATTTTAGCAATGGAATGAATATAAAAAAATTTTAGAGACATTTTCAAATCGGTACGGCTTGCGTAAATATTATGAGGAAACTCTTAATACATAATAAATAGTTTAAGTCCGATGGAAAAACAGTATTGATTTTTTTTCTGTAGAGTGATGCGCCCTAATGTACATATGCGTGTGGCTTTAAGTACATACTATGTACATATATATCTATAGGTACGTATGTACATATGCATGTACATAATGATTGGGGTAAACGACAGATCGACATTCAAAGATTGCAGTGACAAGTGGCAGTGCATACTACTGGCACAGCACCCTCTGTAGTGCCATTCTTATCGCCAGCTGCCAAGGAACTTCGATGACTAGCGCTGGACTACACATTTATTACGAGCACATAAAATGCAATGCGGCCCTGTGGCTAGCACACCTAAGGATTCATAGTATTTGGAGTGCACACCACAACCGATAAATATGTGTGTGTAAATAACAGCGCCCTTTTCACACCCGGCTCTTGCGCCCATTACAAATACTTCACGTGTTAACATTGCCCCTCTTCTTTTCCCTTGTCGAGGTATAGTGTGTACTTGTGCCCACTTCTGCTGCAAACCCCTTCTGCGGGAGAGCCCGAGAGCTATGTATGTACATATGTATGTATTCCCTTCGCATTTATTGAATAATTTCCATTCTGCATAAACCATTTGGCAGCAGGCGATGTGCAAGATATGCTGGCGCTCTCGACGTTCGGCCATCGTATTGGCTATGTGCTGAAAACCTAACGGAAGGAAGCTGGCGTTGTGTGAAGGTACGACGAGTGTGGAGTTGAGTGGAGAACGTTACGATTGGCGCTTATGAAAAATTGTCCGTTATTTGCATATGTAAATCGATTACAATAAATTCTTGCATGTAATGTGGCAGCTTACACACCAGCCGCCTGCCAAGCGTAATCGAAGCGAACAACAGCAGCAACAACACGTAAAAATTTGTGAAACAAGCGTGTCATTTTTTTTTAAGGCGTAAAAAGTGTAAAAGTGTTTTGTTTATGTAGAATGTGTGGACTGATAAAACAAATATGTACGCTTGTTGAAAGCAATTTGCATTGCAACAGAATTTTCATATTAAAATGCCGTAAGAGTAAACAAATACAAAAAAAAAAAATATTAAAAATAAAAACACATACATACACACATATGCATAAACTTACCTTAAATAAACGCAACGTCATGCTGACCACATAATCTGCCATCGGCAGCATTTCAGCTTTAAATGCGCTGCTATGCTTCAAATGTCCTTTGAATATGGAAACGTAGATTTGCTGCAGCGATTCATCATTGGGGAAGACAATGTTGAAGACGGCAAACATGGATATGAAACGTGGATCGACTTCGTTGCGTCCGCCACCGGCACAACCCATGGCCGCGTAGAAGGTGAGGTCCTTGAACCTTTTCCAATTCAAGTCCTTGCCACGATCGTACATGCCATCGCGTTCGAAAAGTAGTTTAAGCAATGCAATTGGCTGTTGAGTGCCGTATCTGTAAACAAAAAAAAAAAAAGAATAAATGAGCTATAGATAACACTGTATAGCACTGGGCTGAACCAAACCAACTTTTTTTCTGAGGCTGAGTCATAAGTAAAAAAGTTATTTTTCCGTTTTTCGAAGTTAGCCTCCGAAATCGAGATACCGGCCTTCGAAATTCGACGAATTACGGCTGCTATATGGGGTCAAAAATCAGGCTGAAAATTTTCTGAAGTATAAAGTTTTTAATTTTTCGAAGACCTGACATTTGACTCCATATAGCTTCTTTTTCTTTTATTGAAAACCACAAAATTACAACCTACAAAATCGGGAATGCTCTATCTTTTGGTGTGATATTACCGACTGTGTGTTAAACTTAACGGAATTCCACTTTTATAAATTAGATATATATGATATAATTTTACTACTGATTCGGATCCTGAGTATAAAAATACGTGTACTGGCCGTTTATGCATGTAGGAAAAGTGTGTGTATGACGCCTTGAGGACCAGAGTCGTATAACTATCGTTTTAGAAAAAATTTTGGGACAGGTTAAAATGCAGTGCTAGCCTGAGGCATGCGCTTTTAGAGTTCTATTACTACACTGAGGGAAATAGCGCATAGTAAAAATCAATATCAATATATTCACAAAACTGGGAGCCAAATATAGTAAAACTGCGTTTTTGATTTTTCTCTTTGACGGCAGGATTTTTTTTTAAAGGACTTTGATATTTCTAGAATATGATTGAATAAAAAAATTATTCAAAAGATTCGGTGCACTGTAGAATAACTATATGGGTATCAGTTAAAAGGAAAAATTCTGTAGAATAGAAATAAATAATACTTTTTGGGCGGACCAGGACGAATAAGTATTGAAAATGTCCTTTTAAAACTTTATCCTTGAATATTCCTGGAAATATATGGAATATTTATTTTTGAAAATAATGTATGTCAAGGACTAAAATGTTAACCACCGCATCCTTGAATTTCGTCCTTCTAACCTCATAAGTTTTAGATAAACTTCTTTTTATAAGATATTGATGGTTACAATATACATAAATGAAGATACTGGAATCTGTACACTAGTAAAATTAAAACGTTGATACTGACCGATTTACGCAATGTCAGGGGTTCAAACTTGTTACCAGGTGGCTTCTGGGGTTGCTAATTTGGAATCTGAAGTCGATTTTTCAAAATTCAAAATGGCGGATCCAAAATGTCGATCCATTTTTATGAAAAAAGATTGGATTTGTTCGAAACCCGTCACTCGAGAGTTTTTGGGGTTGCCGATTACGAACCTGAAGCAAATTTTTTTAAATTTAAAATAACGGATCCAATATGGCAATCATTACAAAAAAAAGCACTATAATTAAAACGTTGATACTGAACGTTATAAACATAGTCAGGGGTTGAAACTCATTTCCAGGGGTTTCTGAGCTTGCTGATTATGTATCTTATGTCAGATTTTCAAAATTCAAAATGGTGGATCCCAAGAGGAGACCAACTTAAAAAAAAAGACTGGATTTTTTTTAAACTCTTTACCGCCATGAATTTTAAATACAAGCATTTTTCAATTCACGGATGGCGTTTTGCACTTCTCGGGTGCTTTTTCATAAATAAGAAATGTACGCTGAAGGGAAAAAATTGCAAAAACAAACAAACACTTTTTTGATCTTACTAAAAACGTCAAAGAAAGAACTTTGTAGTGGTAAATATTAAATTGAAACAAAAAAATATTTAATTATACTACGAACATGACAAACTATTTTTCTTACAAAAGAAACTTTTATGTCATTTAAATTTACATTTTGGGTATTTAAACCCCCTTATCCTTAAAGTGGGTTTATGGGCCCTTAATCATAATGACAAATTTCGTAGGACGCCGCTTTCGCAAACGATCGAAAAATATATGCCAAATAAGGATGATGTTTCAAGACTTATAAATAAGGTGTCATTAAAACAGGTTTTAAGATCTGTTAGCTTTTGTGGAAAAAAATTACAAAATTAGTATTTGTCCTGTATTCGAAAACATATCCGACTACATACATACTTATGTACATATCTGATTAAATAGCCTAATGAACAAAAGCTAATTTGATTTTTCGAATCCATGATTTTAACAAAAATTTCTAAGTAGTGGCTGCTATTTAATACTTGTGCATATTTCGGACCATTGCAAATTATTATGGAAATTATTTCATCTCTTCGCCTGCTAATATACTAAATATAGCTGTAAGTTTGAACGCTCCGGTTTATAACTCATCAATTTATTGGCCATAAATTGCAGGCAAAGCGACTGAGTCACAGTTGTCCACAAAATTTCGATATTCTATGCATTTCTAAAAATTCCTTTGCATTTATACGTTATCAGCAGGCTTTTTATGCTTAATTAAATTTCACTGCCCATATTCAGCAATCGATCTTATTACCTCCCATCCTTCGCACGCAGCCCACTTTTATTGGAGATTGCCACTCACAAAGCTATGTACAACCACTGTTATTGAAATTTTTACTATGTAGTTATGTACACACAAAAAAAAAAATTACCGAGTATACAAGTATGTATGTAATGGTTCGTTTTAATAATAAATACCACACACACACACGCACCGAACTTAAACCATTCCGCCACTACTTATACGTAGATATTCGTACATAAATAACGTATGTTAGTGCACGACCGTTGGCTAAAAATTTAATGCCTAGTCAGGCACAAAGCAGCTTAAAATGGCTGGTTGCGGTGAGCAGGCGAATGAATGTTGTATGTACATACATAATGTTGGTTAAAATGAAAATTTCGTTTAGACTTACTCATCAACTTGTGGCATATTCATGTCATCTATAAAGCAGGCAATCTTCTTGCCTATTGGTGGGCCAAAAGTGTCCTTTGTGCGCTTTTCCACAGCCGCCTCGAGCGTACGCTGCACATCCATTGATGAAGTTCTCGATGAAAAATTAATATTCAGTATGATCTGGAATAGGCCAAAGCACATATGTACATATGTACATAAGTAGAGCAGGAAAATATGTAATTTCACTTTGGTTATGCATCATGTGAATGTGTGCGTGTGCAATGGGCACATAAAGCAGCAGTAAAGAGTCACAGTATATACAAATACCAAATAAAAGCCATTACAACGGTTACAACAATATTGGGAAATAACATGACATGCCTGCCACCAATAAAATCAATGTAGGGACCATATTAATAGTGTACGGCAGTGGTGTATAGTTAGTATGTTGCAAGTTTGTTGACAACACCAAATAGAATGGCTCGTGGATGCAGCAAGCAACGTTAAACAGAAGTGTACGTATGTATGTACATACACTGCCAGAAAAAACATTGACAGCAATGACAGTAGCAAACGTATTTAATAAAGTGCGCAGCCAAAGAAGGTGCATACAGCATTGCTGCCGCAACGATATGCATGTGACTTTATCGTCACCTAAAATGCAAAAAGCTGTAACTAACAAAAATTGGTTTATAGAAAAATGATGTGGAACTTGAAATTCGATGAAATACATCATATCAATCAAAAAGTAAATTTTGTATTTTTTTTTTTGTTATTTGCTGTATTTTTTTTATTTCTGGCTGAGTGGAAGATCGACCCATCTCGGCAGCCGGTTCGAAAACGCCCTATCCAAGAAAACTTTTCAAAAACGCCCACATCAGAATTTGGTTGATGAACGCCCTATTTCAGAATTTGGTTCAAAAGCGCCCTATCTCAACTGAGAATATATACTCAATCGGTAGCTGCGATGAGGCGTTTTCAAATTCTGAGATAGGAGTCCTTGAAAAGTTTTCTAAGAAGAAATGTTTTTTAACTGGCTGCCGATATAGATCGATTCTTCACTCAGCCGTTGATATATAATAGGCCAGAAAAAGGATATTTTGTAATGCAATTTGGAAAGAAAAAACTTATTTGAAGCCGAACGTGGGGGTTGCCTTTTTAAATTTGTCGTTATATCTTCGGAATTTATATACCTTGTTTATACCAACACATAAAGCGCTTTGACCCAGTCCGCTGTGATTCAAAATGGAAGCATAAACCAACTTTCAATACGCTCAGAATTTCAAAAGTGTATTGACTTGAATTTGTTTTTAAACCGCTTTTTTATTTCTCACATCGCACACAAGGGCCAAGCGTGCTCAAAATTCAATAAAAAATAAATACTTTTTTTTGGAAAAATAAAAACACTGGTTTATTCCCATTAAATACTACATTTGGGGATATTTTCTCAGCTTACTATCGTTTTTTTCGGCTGGGAGATATGCGTGTCCAAACTTGACGAATTTGAACAATATTTTTTTTTTTAATTGAGAAATTCAAATATGCAAATCAAATTGTTACTGTAAGAAAGCGGTATTTCGTTATTTTGTTTTTTCCATTACCTAAAATGAAGTTTATTTATTTTTTTTGGTGTATATTTTTTGGAATTATGTGTTTAAAAAAAAATTATGTTAAAAAAATAAACTAACGTCTATTTTTTGCAAGTGTAATTTTCAAAATCATTTTTTTTAATGCGCACAGCGCTTAGTAAAAGTCGCAAAATGTTTAAATTATTCATAATTTGCATAATAATAAAATCAAATTAACTTAACATAAGACATTACAAAAAACTGGGTCACCAATGGGTTAATGCCTGACCAATAATGGGTTAAGACGTCAAAAATTTACTCTTAAAACGTATGTAGTTCAAGCGAGTCTTATGGAAAGATAATGATTTCAGAATTTTGAGCACCCGCTTTTATGAGGCGGTCCCAGTGTGCATCGGTTAGAAAAAAGATATAAACACATCACTCATTTGACACGAAGTGAAAAAGGTCTGGTTTTCTTTATATATTTTTTGAATTTTTTTAAATTATTATTATAACAAATTTGAATTCTTGCTCGCTTCCATTTGGATCCACCGCGCAAAATAATTATTTAAGAAATGTCGAATAAAATTAAAAAAAACTTTTTTGCTTTTCAATACGGTTTCAGCGAGTGCGCCATAATGACGCTTTTTGATGTTTGGTAACTCGGCGGCGGCGTTCACCTTTAGGTACATACACATCGTTACCTTAATATAAAAAAGCCCTATTTAACATTTATTTCTTTGGGAAGTGATTTATTACCTTAATAGAAAATCAAAATTTTAAGCTCTAAATTTGTTTAATATGCTATTTTTTTTATTGAAAACTGTAACTTGTGTTATACTGTTGTAGTTATTTTTACATTTTGGAAGTCTACCGACTTTTAAACGAAAATGAGTTAGGGCCTTTTTATATTAAGCTATGCATCTTTTCAAGCGTTAAAAGGTTTTTTTCACTCACATTTGAATCTGGATTTAAATTACGTAAATACTGTGAAATCATGGCAGTCTTTGAAGTACCCGCTTCGCCGACAAGCAGCACCGGCCGCTTGATCTAAACGGACGCCAATGGCAACGGCAGCAAATTCCGAGGTAGGAGCGATGGCGCATTGACGGTGACAGAGCAGCAACAGTCGGCGTACATGCAAAAAAAATAAGTAAATATTAGCTAAGCCTCTATATTGAGCTCTAACCGTGAAAAAAATGTTTGCCCCATTTGTTTAAACCTTTTCTTTTGATGCAGAAATATATTTAGATGCGCTGGAAATATTCTGTATCAAAGCGAAAAATTTTTATAAATAGGTTTCTTTCGATTTTTTTGACGGTTATGGCTCGATATGTTGAACGAGAATGTATGTCTCTATATACATAAATGACGATTGTGATTCACATGTGTGGCCGAATAAAGCAATCGGGTGTTGTTATTGAAAGTCTTCAGAAGAGAATAATTTTTAATTTCGAAAAATAAAAGTTGTTTATTTTCCTATATTTGAACGTTTTGAGCGACCTATAAATATTTTCTGATTTCAAAATAAAAAAATAGGGCGTTTATTTTTTTCGATATAGAATAATCCTAGGGGGTGATAGCATTAAAATTCCGACTTTACTTAATTTGGACCACCCTAGTGTACATACGTACCTCACTCATCAATGCCAGCGTTCTAGTGGTGCGTGTGCTATCAACAGTTGGCACGACAATTTCACTAAATCTCATCTCAGGATCGTGGACATACTCAGGCACCATCCATTCCCAAGCGATCCAACAAGCCTTCTCGCGGCTATAGAAATATTCGTAAAGTGTAGGCTTACTGTTGGGTAGTTGTCCCCCGGTTGCTGGCTTTTCCGGCGTATCTGTTACGGCAGGGAAGCCAGCAATGCGTTTCACGAACTCATCGTAAATTGGTTTGTCTCCTTCAATCAGTGTAGCTCCCAGTGAATTATAAACGCACTGTAAAATATAGTGAAAATAAAATCTGGCATATAGCTGCTTTATGAGTCTTTTTGTACTACATATGTATTAGCACAATTTGGGGAAATGTGTTAATTAATAAATGTCCCATTCTTACCTGTATAAATCCACACTCAATCGAATCTTGATCGTACATAGTCGCCTCCGGTGCTTCCGTTGCTATGTCATCCACATTTGTGTACACGGGCAGCAGAGCATCGTACATGTAGCAAAATTGCACCACCATATTCAATTCCGTTTGTGGAATGACCATTTTCAAAGGATTGCCCTGGGAGGTGCCATCTACACCCTCCAAGATGAAAGCAATCGATTGCACAATTATTTTCTCGTAAAAATCCTTAAAAAAAATGAATCCAAGCGAAATGAAAATCGAAGTAATAAAAAGGGAAATCAAGCAAAATTACATTCAATATCTCGTGCTCGCCTTCAGGGCGTGTCAACAGCCAGCGTTGCCAGTAGGGCGCGAAGCGCAGATTTTTCGGATCCACATAAACCATGCCAGCGCGAGAAACAGTGGCTGGCGAGGCATACCACAAGTTGCCGACCTGAAAGGAGAGGAGAGTGAGAAAGTTGCAATAACATGCTGAATAGAAGGGCGACGTATACAGGGTGTCCACGACCACCCGTCCACCCCAACTGAGTTGGAGGGAAATGATTTTGATTGAAAACCGCAAAAATTAGACCCACTAAATCGGGGAAGCTCTATGTTTTGGTGGTATTTACTACCGACTTCCGGTTTCGACCGTAAGTGGGTTAAACTGAACGGAAGTTCTTTTTTTCAAATTAGGTATAGGTACATGTTTTTACGACAGATTCGGATTCTAAGGAAAAAAATAAGTAAATTTGTTTGAAACATTTTCCTCGGAAGTGCCTGTTTTATCCTCTAAATGACCGGAGAACTTCAATTCGTCCTGATCTTCTTAAATGAGTGAACACGTTTTATTCAAAAACGAAGAAAAAACAAAGGTTACCGGGTCGAGGATGCTCTATCTTTTGGTTGTACTTCTGTGAAAAAAAATTTGAAACAAAAGTAAGGCATTTTTATCATTAGAATCCGAATGTGTACGAAAAACATATATATCTTATTTAAAAAAATTAACTTTCGGTCGAAACCGGAAGTCGGTAATAATACCAAAGAATAGAGCATCCCCGATTTAGTAGGAAAATTCATGCGGTTTTCATTAAAGAACATTTCCCTCCATTTCAGAGGGGGAGGACGGCTGGTTATATGTAGTTGCTTCGCACGAAGGAATGAACACTCATTACAAAGCTATTTATCACTGAGGTTATACTGTTTTTTTTTGCTTTTGTATGATTTTTAAGGTTGTGTAGGCTGGTATGACAGCTTACGCTGACATCCGAGGCTAACAAATACCAAAGGCACCTGCTATTTTGCACATTTCCTCCCGAGCAATGCGCCAAACAAAAGAGTGTGTCCTTCGTAGCAGGCGCCTTGTGTGTGTGCGCTTGTGCACTTGCACTTACCTCAAATAGCAGCGCGCAGTAACTTTCCAATCTGATGCGTTCGCCATTCGCTAATGTCAACAGCTTATTATCATCCATAACCGAGTTCATGTTCTCAATCCACAGCGCGTCCACGTCCCCATCGAAGCAGACGTACCGTCGTTCCTGCCGATTGAAGGTAAAATTAGTAGCAGAAACAACAAAAAAAAAATGGTAGTGAAGGAATCGAAAGGGTTGCGACCGCAGCGGAAGCATGCATTAGGCTGATTGCATTAGTTTGTCACTTGTCACCTGTCATGTAATCCCGTTGCTGCAGCTACTACATACATATGTACATATGTAGCCTGTAGGTATTATGCCACCAATTATGGCGCGATTGAAAAGCAGCGTCGACCTCGAGCAAGCGGAAATTACGCGAAGCGGAATAGCAAGTGATGAGCGAATGCCTGATTGCCTGTTACATCGTTGTTGTTTGGACGCACACAAGCGAGTGCATTGCGCCATCTAGCGCCCAAAACTGACTGACATTGCTATCGCATTTGACATTTTGTATTTGTTTTTTTTTTTTGTATTCGCAGTACCTGGCAAACAAGTTCTGTGTAGGTAGGTGTCGGGCTCACAGGTGTGCGCTTGTCACTCTATTGTTTTGTTATGTTAGAACAGCGACGCAGCAGCTGTGACGCTACGGGATTTATTAGCGCATCTTGCAAGTGTAATTTCCACTTGGCTGATGATGCGGTAGCGGCAAGGAAAACCACTGCTGCTAACTTTGCATGCATGTGCTATAAGCGAGCGCTTGCAGTAGCTGCACGGCGGGTGCTGCAGTGATGAATTTGGCTAGCGGCGCGCAACTGTCGTTTGTGTCGTGTCACATTGACAACGCGCCGCTTATCCCAGCCACATGACAGCTTTGACAGCGCAGAAAATCTGTCGCAGCTCAGTGGCGGAGTGAAGTGCAAGTGCATCGTGCACGGCGTATGTGCGCGACAACGAAGAGCTCTTGACTTCGACAAGGCGGTAATCTACGCCCCTTAGTTTCTGTATTTGTTCTTTCGTTTTTTTTTTCGTTTGTTTTTGTTTGGCTTTCGCTTCGCCGCACAAAAAAGCGCTAAATAGCGTTTCGCAATGCAATTTTCTTCAAGATGTGTCAAGTACAGCGCCCGTGAAGCTCTAGCTTAGCAGGTAAGGTCGTCAAAGCCACAACTCACACAAAGTGTCTTCGAGTGCTAGTAGTTGGCATTGACATAAAATCATTTCCGCGGAAATTTTGAGATTTGTGCACCATGTAAAAGGTGCAAGCGTTGAGTGCGGTCACTACATAAAAAAATTCACATACAAAGCAAACTTGCCTGCGGATAGGTCAAACGTGCGAAATGCTTGCTATATTTGTGATCATTCCAATTTTTTTTTTATAGAATTTTGCGTTTTTTGCTTACTTATGCCACATAAAAATGCACAATCAAATGCAATGCACGTCAATCAATTTTAAGTCGAAATGTGCCAATCAAATTTGCACCTGCAACCACCAACGCTGCATACAAAAATTGCCAGCTAAAATTTAAATGCCGCTGCAACGACAGTAACAATAATAAATGGTGACTGTTACTGTATGTGCAATCTTCGGGGGTAGGTTGATCCAGCATTTATTGGCTATATGTAAGCGTTGCGTAGATGCACAGTGTGTTGAGTAAGTGAATTTATTTTATCGACTGCGTAAGAATGACATTGCAGGCTTGTATTTTTCATTGTTTGCAAAAATTTCGTCTTTTAAAGCTGAAAATTTTTCCAGTTTACTAAAGCCCACCTGAAAAAACTCGTTGGGTCCTTAAGCACTTTAGATGTTATAGCTCATTTCCACCAAACGCTTAACTACAGCTAAGAGCTTAGATAAGTTGCAATAATTTTAACGAGAGGTGATCGGCAAGGTTTATTTCTTAATTTTTGCTTTTTTTCTTTTAATTTGCTTGTAATTAATGTGAACAACTACCTTCTCGAGTTGTAATCTGTTTTTTTCCAGTAGGCATAAACTGCAGTTAAGGCTTGGTGGAAATGAACTGTTAGCGAATGTAATGATTTTCTTTTGGAGTCAGTCAATATAAGCGCCCGTTATTTTGTATACGATTTAAAAAAAACAAATTGTGTTCATCAAAACTATATCCAGATTATTAGAAATTTAAATTATGACGCGTAAAAAATGGCAACCGTGGAGCATCTGGCCAAATGACGAAAGTATATTATTTGACCAGTAGTAGCTCTCAGAGTTGATTATATCACAAAACATGGATAAGCACTCATAGGTCATATGGAAAGAGCTAGGAAGGCTTTGGGAATTTTTTCCTCCAGACAATTTGGAATTCGTAGTACTGAACTGGCTTAATTCACGATGTCTTGGTGTCTATTGCGCCCTCTATGAAGATAGATAGATATTAATATGAGCAGAATTTAGAAAAAGTGTTTTCCTAGTGGATAGAAACTGAACGAAATAAAATGCTGAAACTTTCCCAGAGCACATTCATCTGGGCGTCTGGTGTTGGTAATGGACTAGGTGTGGAACTCGCTACATGAAACAAAGTTCCAATGAAAGGCAAAATAAAGAGAGTCAGATAAGACCATCTTCTTTCGATGACGGTACGAGCTCTTTATGGGGGAGAGTGCCCTAGCCAGTTGATTGATGCCCTTTAGGCAAAAAATGGGTGGGCACTTGCGGCGTCTACTACAGCTGCCATGTAAAGGATCGCAAATTCGGTGCAGGATCTGTGGTGAGAGAGAGACGTCGTCACCGAGTACTATCGTTCACCCTTGTGAACAAGTTTCTCACCAAACTCCCTAATTTCTTCAAGACCTCGCCTAATTGCCCTACCACCTTGACAAAAGAGCAGAACAAGGCGAACAAAGACGTCTTCTAAAACCACTTGTAGCACACTTACGAGCGCTTTTTCGTTACTATATTAAAAGCGTGCTTGGCGATTATAATGTCAGGTTGGGTAGTAAAGCGATCTTTCAAAACACCGTCGGAATTCAGCTTTTTCGACGAAAGGTCAAGGTCTACAATATAACTGTGTCCCTGTGTAGAAAAAAAATGTGCGTCTAGCAACACAAGATAAGAGAAAGTATTCCCCGTCATCAGGCAAACAATCATCCCATTCCCAACTCCGCACTCACAACTACAATTTCGAAGAAACGGACAACTTCGTTAAGTTAGGAATAATGTCAGCCTTGAAAGACAAAGAAGAACCAATCTTGCTACTTTGGACTGGGCAGGCAATTGAGAAGTAAAGTCCTCTCTCGTCGTACAAAAGCCGCACTCTCTAAGTCATTCCCGTGCTGGCACTGAAGCATGAACAATGAAAACGCCTACACAGGGAAGAGAGTCGGGACGCAGTCAGCTGATGCCTTGCTAAAGCTTACGAGACGAAAAAAAAAGAAATAAAGAATTAAAAGATTAATCTATATCTACATATAATAGAATTGTAACAGGATGTACAGTCTGTACATTATACATACTAAAGAACAATTTATATGGGGGTCTTCATTAAAGCAAAACAAATCGAATTAACGATTCTTAGAAATTTTGTTTGTATGTTTGTACGCGTATCACGCGGATACTAATGCATGTAATCGAATGCAGTTTTCATCGGTATGTTGCCTAATGTCTAACTTAAAATATAGAAGAACAAAAATTTAAGAGTTGCCACCTGTTTTAAAATTGCAGTTGCAGATGCTGCTCAACTTAAAACCGAATAAAGCTGAGTGGCTCCTTCCAGGCCCCCTCTCTTTCTGCTGTGAAACAAGACTTCACCCGAGTGAGTTACCGCATATCTCACATGGGTTGCTCACATTCACCTGGAGTGCGCGAACGGGGATGCCAGATTCGGGATTGAGTAAAGTGGCGCAGCTGTAATGCATTCCAAGAAGAATGACAATAAGGAGAGTAAAGGCTTTCTGGACTTACAAAAATTCATGTACGTAGTCTGTGCGTCTAGTTTTCATAAAAAAATGTTTAGTCTGTCGAATAAATATAACCCTAGAATATCAGCCATAATACACTATGCGTCGCAAATGTATTCGGTGCACATTCGTAATGATTTGACGTAGTATAAACGTTAATAATTAAAATGCGTGTGCGTATTTGTATGTGTATGTATGTATCTTCATAGTACACATACATACATATAAATCTGAATATATACATTGCTTTTCCATTTTACCTCTCGCTCGGTCGGTCTATTCATCTCACGGAAAATATTCGAAAATAATCCATCAATCCAATCGCGTGTATCCATATCGAGGTAACCATATAATTCGATTACCGAGCAGGCCTGCGATTAATAAAAATTGTTCGCATCAAAATTAAGGTATCCGAAAAATTGTAAATAAAATCGATTGGCAGCAAAAACAAGCAAATCAACAAAAAGCGAAAAAATATTATATAAATCAGGATGCAGGCGCAACAACAACAAAGAGTACAACGTCGCCACACGATTGTATACATACGCATACGCTTAAATTTATGTTTATTGCATATGTTTGGGTGCAACAAAATATTTAAATATACATACATACATACATACACCCTGGCATAACAGCAATAAAATAAAAGTCGGCATCAGTATCCAGCAGCGGTCGCACCAGAAAAAATAGCTACAACAACAACAATAACCAATTTATAATAATACACTGAGGTATGATGTGCATTGAATAGGCGACGGGCGATATCGATGAACATTGCTCGGACTCGCACTCTGGCGCTTATTTCGCAGTAAAAAAAAAACTGCAGCTGCAAACAGCAGCTTCAAATTAAATAAAATTAAAATATGCAAAGGAGAAAGAAATCGAATTTATTTTTGAATGGCAGCAATAAAAAAGGAAAAACTGCGATACTGTATATACATATATCGCCACTAGACACGAATAAAGGGGCGGTGAAAAAAGACGCATACATTTTACGAAAAAAGGCGCGTGGTCATAGATTTATACTTGGCCAAGGACTGTCACTTCAGCATTATTTCACCCAATCTCTTCCGTCCGAGATAGGTCGACCTTCACCCCCTACGAATGTTCTGTATCGAAAAAAATATACCCCCTATTTTTTTATTTTGAAATCAAAAATAGTTCTCATGTATTTTATATCGGGAAAAAAGCACTTTCCATCGGAAGTTTCTTTTAAGGAGATAATAACACTCAATTATTTATTTAAAATTTTTTTCGTAGTAACTATATTTTATAGGTCCGCAAACACTCCAGAAAATGCCAGAAAATGCAATGGGGGATAAATAAAATTTTTAGTATTAAAAATTGGTTAAATAAATAATTGGGCATTGTTATTCGAAGCCTCATAAAGAGAACGAAAAACATTGCTTTTCCAGAATTCTACGAAAAGTTGCTTTTTTCCCATATAAAATATGTACATGGAAAACTTTGAGCGCTTTGAGCGACCTCTAAATATTTTTTTTAATTACAAAATAAAAAATAGGGATATTTTTTCGATATAAAACAATCCTAGATCCCAAAATTTCGACTTAACTTATTTTGGACCAGCCTAATGTTCACATTTAACAACTGCCCAATTGTATGTAGCAGCTTTCATTACTTAATCGATGATTTATGTACATGCATATTATAAAACAAGTGTTTAAATAACCAAAAATGTGTGACCATTTTCCCGCGATCTGTTTTTATGACCAGTATTTTTATTGTCAAATCGATAGTTTCATTTTTCAAAACCAGGCGCTCATATATGTATGTACATATGTGAAGTAACAAGCTCTCTATTTCTACGTAGAAAATTGTTTGTACACCAATCAATTTTAATATTTATAAGACTGTTAATATTTAAAATTACAAATATTCTGAACAAAATTGTGTCATTTTAAATTCTAACCGACTGATAAATTAAAAATTGATTGGTTTACCCGGACAAAAAATTCTACTTACAATAACAGGCGAAGTAATAGAACAGCTTTCTCGGTTTTTTTTCGGACATTCAGCTGCCTTATAGTCAAATTTTATAGGCAAATTTTCAAATAAGGCAGTGCCAAAATATTTCTTCTCGCTCTAATTAACTCCACCATGCTAAAAAGGAAATCAAACAAACCAATGTGTGCGTATAGAAAACTTGCTACTTCATATCGTCGCATTTACGATACGTTGCGCATGCGCTTAGAAGATACTTCAGTTGGCAAATCGCCACTATGGAGAAGCGGAATGATAGGAAGTCAAACCTCCATGCGCTTGCTGACTACTGCTGCACCTTGAAAAGCGATGATAGTACGATCCGCAAAAGAAAATGTTTGACGATTTTATTCCAAAGCGCGGAAAGTGTTATGAGAAAAACGACTGGCTAATGATGAATCGGGGATATTGATTTTTTAATGTTGATTTATTTATGAAATCACTTTGTTTTTGAAAATAAATTCATATATTGAGATTTTCAATAATGCACAATTTTTCGGAGTAGGGTTGCCACCTATGAAAATGTTAACAGATTTTCGCCGTTCGTTGGACTATAAAACGAGATACCAGATGCAAGTGCATGGCCTTCGCATGTACAAAAACTTTATTATTTTTTAAGTAGGGTTGCCACCTATTTAAACTTACTATCTTCTATACATAGTATAAAGGGAAGTTGATATTATGATTGGAAAGAGATATTTTAACCACGGATTTAGACAAGATTTTTAATATATATAATAAACGAAGTACCTGATGGCATATGATTTCTTTCTCCAAATACGTAAATGTACATTCATATGCCAGTGCATAGCATGCATTTAGGCGCCTGGTGTTAGCAGTCGCGCCCAAACACGGGGGAGTACTCCAACACACATAATTCTTTTGAAAATTCTCGACTACTAGTACATTTTAATTGCAAGGTTTGATTTTTTTTTGTAGTACTATATTCAACTAGGAGAGCCGTAGAATCGCTTTTCTTTACGCTAGTATTTGCTATTATTTGCAAATTTCAATATAAAATTGAACGGCGTTTATTAAGAGATTGTGACTTACAATTGAATATACCTTGAAAGCTGCTAACCTGCTTGCAAAAGCAATTTCGAATCATTGTCTATAATGGACTTAAGTAATTAAATGGGAATTAAAAATAAGAAAAAACGTATTTACACAATTGTTGGACGAGTTGTGTGAAGGTTGCAGGGCAATTACGCAAATTACAAAAGCCTCGGCTAATAACCGGAACCACCTTTACAAGCCACCATCCGGGCTACAAGCAGCAACAACAACAACGAAAAAATGGAACGAATGCAATACAAGCTTGCATACCTTGTGCGGCGGAAAAGGGGCGGGTGGCTGTTAGGTTGAATGAGCGTAAGCGGAAGCCAACCGGACAAATGACAAAGGCTGCTAGAAAAGAAGCGGCAGATGCTTCAGCAACATACCACACAGCCTGATAGTTGAATCAAGGCTGGCTTGTTGGTTGGTTGGTTGGTTGGTTGCTTGGTTGCTTGGATGGATGCTGGCCGGTTTGGCCGCTTGGCCAGAGGGATCAAAGCAAAAGGCACAAAAGCCATTGCAGCCGTAAAGCAGTTGCCTGTTGCCAGCTATCACCTCTTAGCCAGCAGCAACAATCAGCTGCAAATCTCTCATGTCTTATTTGTTATTGTTGTTGGTGTTGCCTCTTTTTGTTGGACATTTGAGCTGTTCGCTTTTTATGGCTTCTATAAAGTTGGCTACTTAACTTGTGTTTGTTGTTTTTGTTGCTTAGTTGCTGCCAACGCCACTGTGTTATGCTATGCAGTGTATGTATGTACATATGTATAGGTGCTAGTAGGTAATCAAGTAAAATTCAACTCACCTTGGGGTTAAGTACGGTGCACTTGGTGGGCAAGCCCATGTGGCATTGTGCCTTAATTAGTGTATTTATGACGACAGTCTTGCCACCACCTGTTGGACCAACAATCATAGTCGAGTGTCGGGTCATCATGGTCTCATACATTTGCACCACTTTATCCTCCTGTATTGGGTGGGTTGCATTGAGGTGGTGGCATTGAATGGGCAACAGGCGTCAAGGGCAGGCCATTAAGTTCGAGTAAGTCGCAGTCATCCATTTAAGCAGTTGACCAGTTGATGAGTTGATGAGTTGCAAATGGACGTGGCCGACAAGCGATGATGGACAGTTTTGTGTTTGCATTTGAAAATACATAGTTGAAAGAGAGAGGCCAAATGGGGTTTTTTTTACTGTTTTTTTTGAAAAATAATTACTAAAATATTTTGCAATATTCCTCCGTTGAAAAGTGCGAATCTCTTTGTGCAGCACGTCAAAGTGTCAGCTCTTGTAGCTTTGTTTTAACGGTGAAGCTCAAAGCGGAAAACCGCTCATCAACGCCCGCGGAGGAAGTAGAAATAAAAGAAGGCACGCTAAGGCAAAGCAGCAGTTCGCTTCGCAGGCAAAAGACGATGAAGCAAATAGCGATGCGCTATTTTTCATGCAATTGCCTTACGTCTTGTCTACTCTCCACTTTATTCTATTTGTCTTCCGCGCTTGCCAACTACCTTTCTCGCACAATTCAAATCATGTGAAGCGGCCACTTGCTAAAGATTGACAAAACGCTACATTGTTACGCTCTATTTAAAATGGTTCTTGAGCTTTTTAGTTTTTTTTTGTTTTTTTTTCTGAACACCGTTGGTGGAGAGCCTCAAGGGATATTCTAGTCCATATTTTTTTTTTTTAAGTTCTTGACTAAGCTCTCAAGTGTCAAGCTGTTGACTATACAAAGAACTTGAAAAGTGTCAGCGCGAATTAAGAAGTGACAACAAAGAAGCACTAAGGATTTGCGCTGCCACTTTTTAGCTCGTGGACAAGCAAGCGGAAAGGGAAATTTTAGGGCAGAGCTAGTTTTTTGTGCGCTATAGCTTACCTGATCTGCTAAAAGTACATAGCCGTCGCTGACGAGCGTGTGCCGCACGGCAGCATTGAAGTCCGGGTATCCAATTCGTGGGCAGTCAATGCCGGGGAATAAGTCCTGAAACGAAAACAAGATATATTTTGAAAATCATTCGAATTTAAAAGATTATACAAATATATTTGATATTCTATCTTGGTAGTGTCGTGGTTAGAAGTGCGCACTGCTAGCTGGGATCAATTCCAGTTTGCGAATAACATCTAAAACAGTGATGCACAAGGGAGCCAACGATGCATGAACGATCTTTATGTAACGTATACGCCATGGTTCACCAAGAATTTTTGCACCTTCATTCAGTACTTTGCCATTGCCTGCAAATGTTAAGCTTAATGTACATTTTAAACTCAGGAACCTATTGCATAATGGAAAGTTCCATTTATTTTAGCCATTTCTTTTTAAATGTGTACGAGTATATGAAATTCACCTGCGGCTTCTTTTTTTTTGATGGCTAATTTTGTTAGTATATTATTGAAAAACAAGCTATACGAAAAAAGTTTTTTATACGGAAAATGCAATTAAGTTAGTAAAACTTGAACGAAATTGTGTAAAAAAATGCGCATAAAGTTCTTACATATTTAATTAAATTTTCTAGTAAGTGTTATTTGCGGTTTTCCTTTCTTAGATAATGAACCAAATATTAAAATGATAGGAAAATTATACTAAGAACTTCTTAACATAAAAACTAAAAGAAGTGTGGTGGATATAAGCGAGTATTTAATGCTCATATCGATAACCAACATCTGCGCTCGCAACCATCAAAGAGAAAGTTAGCCCTAAATGCAGTTGCTTGCTTTCGAAAAATAATGCAGTGTGGAAGAGTGCCACTCCTTACGAGATTGCCGTGTTAAGTGTTTTCGGTAAAAGGCAATGAAGTCAAACTAGTTGGGGACAGAAATTCATGAAATATATATGTGTTTATTCTTCTTCGTCTTCTTTATTGGCGCTGTAACCGCCTAAGCGATTTCGGCAGAGTCCAAAAGAGCACACAAGTCATTTCTCTTCTGTGCCAACTGACGCCAATTGGAAATGCCAAGTGAAGCCAAGTTCTTCTCCACATTGTCTCTTCAATACAGAGGAGGCCTTCCTCTGCTCTGTTACCAGCATCGCGATCCGCGTTGAACACTTTCAGAGCTGGAGCATTTCGGTCTATTCGAACGACATGACCTAGAGAGAGAGAGAACTTTACTACTGAATTGCCTACTCAGTCCAAAGTAGCACTTGTAGGCAAGAGTGATTCTCCGTTGGATTTCAATGCTGATCAGCGTGAATGCTGGTTTCCAAATAAACAAAGTCGTCTACTTTTTCAAACTTGTAACTGTCAACAGTGACACGCTCAACAAAAAAAAATTTAAAAAATCAACGGTAATTTTAAACAACTTGAAACTTGCACTCTCTTATACTGAAATTGAATGGGCTACAAAACTGCAAGCCCCAAAATTTTTTAAATATTCCAATTAAAAATTTTGCTGACAATTTTTTTAAGTTTAATCAATTTTTTTTTAAATTTATGCAAGCTTTTAAACTTTTAATATTGTGATTTCTGTTTTAGATTCAATTACATTTTAAATAAAAATTATTAAAAATAAATAAATAAACATAAGTTGCAAACAATAGCATTTTGAATTTCGGTTCTAATTAGTTGAACCCATCTGTAAAATACTCGTTTTTGCTTTTCAACGATATTTTTGCAGTGGCCCATGCAAAAGTTCTTAACAAGCAGAAAACCTTATTGCCTATGGCACTGTTCATTGTTGTTGGAGGATACCATGTATGTAGCTTGTTGATGGTACCTTGAGCTTAAATTGGCACCATATATTTTGGTTGAATTATGAAAGTGACTTTCATTAAGTCAGGCATCCTAATATACGCACTACATATGTACATACTCATTGCATATATATCGCACCATTAATATGATAACGAAGTATTTCAAAATTTCAGTTTTGTTGGAAAACGCAATAAAAGTTTTATCAATTCATACATGTTGGTATACAAAAAGACAGATGCAAAGACACATATCTTCGCCATAGTTGCGAAGTATGGTTATCTATTAAACTGAACATATTCTACTTATCAAGCTTATTATATGCATAATGAAATCGCCAAAAACGTAGATTTTGAGTTACAGCTCTTTATTATTAAGCATGCAATATGTATGTATGTAGATAAATGTGCACATACATACATACATATGTAATGTATGTGTATCTATTCATGCACCTGTATATTGTATTACTTTTAGCATAGTTGCTTGCGTAAGCTGCAACACCTCAGCGTTGCGTTGACAAAATGCGCCTACGGCAACGCCACACACACACACACACACACACACACTTCCATGTATGTATGTACATCTAAATACATTTGCGCTTACCTTAATAAGCCCCAAAAACAAAGGCACATCCTCAAAGACAAACTTCGGAAAGTTCATGTCACGCAACACACGCATTAGTACAACAGCCTCAGGTAGATCCTCCGACGTACGTTTCATTACGCCTGCCATACGCAGCACCGCATTTAGCGAACGCAAACCCCAATCGTAATGGCATTGCTTGGAGAGTTGCTCCTCAGCCAGCTTGTAGAGTACTGTCATTTTCTTTGCCAGAACCTTTAAGAGTAATTATCGTTATTTTTATGTAAATATTCCAAAGACGCAATGTGCGCGTCATTGGTGTGCGGTATGTGGTTGTGGTTAAGTTGCGAAGGTGGGGGAGGTGTAAGTAAGCTGCATGCTAATGGCGAACTTAAAGTGAGTGAGTGTAGGTGAGTTTGTATGGTTGCGCGGAAATTTAACTTCTATTGCGCCAAACAAGTGTGGTTCCTGTTTAAAATTTGTCGTTCATCTGCCGACGTCGCCATTGTTGCTGTCAACACTGCTGTTACTGCCACTGCTGCTGCCACTTTGTCGTTGGAGTTTGGATACAACGCCACACCACATTTTGGCAACTTAATAATCGCATTATTGTTATGATGATATTAAAATATAAGCATATGAAGTCATTGTGGGCGCAATAAAGCGCGCTGGCAACCAACAGCCAGTAACAAGAACAACAACGAGCAGCAATAATAAACAAAGTCGGCATTGCCAACTAAGAGTAGTTAAAAGTTAATGATTCACATTTTGTTAGATGTACTTATGTATGTATGTACAGACACACATACTCGTACATAGGCTGCATTTAATTTTGCTCAAGAATGTGTGGGTAAGCATGTATTTTGAATGCTTAAGTGGCAAAATATTGAATGTGAATATGGTCGTATATGTATGCGTGTTAATATGTGTAATATGCGCTACTTACTTTGGCTGTTAAAAATCCATCAGAGAAAAGCGATATTAAGCAGATCAACTCTAAATCCGGTTTAATGCAGGTCACCGGCCTGAAGAGCGCTTTCACTGATTCCGGCAACTCCGTACGGCCTGCATAGCCGGGATTCATGGTGACAAAGACGCCCACCTTGCGGTCGAGTTTGATGTCACTGCCTTCGAACTGCGTACGAAAAGGTATGAATACATGGAAGCAAAGAAAAATAAGAACTTATTAATTCTACCTAAAATATTATTTAATAATTTCACTGTGGAACAGTTAAACTTAAATGGACTAACGTAAAAAGTGTGCGTAATACATTAAATTAAAATTAAAATTAAAATAAAAAGGCTGTTTTTGTTTAATACTCGCATGAGGGCTAAATATTTACGGGGCTGTTTGCTTAATTACCTTGCAAGGTTGTGCCACTTTTGTAACGAAGTTTTTAGTAAGTGTATGCAAAGTTTTCTAATGAGAGTGGGATTGAAAGTAGTGCAAGTTAAAAAGCCCTACTAAATCTTCACACGCAAAATTTGTAGTTCCAAAAAATTCTTTTATTATACAACTGGATTATAAAACCATAAGCTCCTTGAACTAAATTTGTTTACAAATGCAATGAATAACTGTAGTTTAAAGTAAATTTTTAGGTAGCAGACTATAATCAAGCCATCAAGGAAAAGTCAACTCTTGTTAGGAAGCTAGAGCGCGTACAAAGGGCCTCGTTGTAATCAGCGGAGCTCTGGGTACTCTTCCAACCCAGCGTACGGTCACTCGAAAATTCAAAAAGCTCCGACTTCGTAGCGGAAGAAATCGAACGCAGTGTTCTGAGCCTGGCCCCAAACGGATACTTTTTTACGCACGTCCCTACAAGATATGAATGGGGGATTGGTAGTATCTGGAGTAAGGGTCACAGACGGATGGAAGCTGCATGAGAGAGTTGGAGGAGGTGTCTACTATCACGAACTTTCAGAAGATCTAATGTTCTGACTGGTGGATCTCTGCAGCGTCTCTTAGGAGAAGGTGGTTATTGTAAAAGAGAGAGCCAATTGGCACCAATGTATTGTCGACTGGGATGATAAATATCTACTTTAATAACCATGCATCAATTAGAGCCTTGGTATCGCTAAAGATACGATCGAAAATGGTCGGGGAATGCCTTACCGCTCTCTGATCTGCCTTGGAACACTTCTCTGTCAGGCTGAGGCCATCACCTCGAACAGGAAGAGCATAGGAATTCCGTATGCAATCTGCAGCCTGCTCCTGGATAGATGGGCTCACGGTCAGTCAGAGAGTGCTGGGTGAAAACCCCGGCAAGCAAAGTTGTCAAGCCCTTGTGGCCGGTTGTTGACTGCAGGCGGCAAAGAGAGCTGCTGCAGCAGGCTAAGCGACATCTCTCGATTCTTACAGGTGTACAAACTGTAAATTGCCATTTAGGAACTCACGCGGTCCGAATTGTTATCGTCACGGATACCTACTGCCACAGTTGTTTGGAAGACGAGGTGGAATCATCTCAGTTGTCCGGCATTCGCTAGGGTTAATTTCCCCGAGTTGACAAAGGACATGTGGAGTAACATGTCAAATCTGCCCGATACAGTATCACTAAGGCTCACTGTCTTATGGCAGCGCACATCAATAGAGTGTACTTTCCGGCGAATGACTATTGTTGCAGCTATCGTAATGACGAAGAGATCGAGAAAATGGAACTTTTGGTGGCAGTATCTTCTTTTAGTACTTTTGCGGCTGTCTGGCGGACTTAACGATTCATTAGAAAAACTAGCTACTTCTTTTCCTAGTTTTGGATGAAACATTGAATCAACTAAGTGACAGCACAACAGCCCTCTTAGGCGTAAGTGTGCCTCCAACTGAGACACGCATAAGGGCAGCTAAAACAATTTAACCTCATTTAATGTACAAATAAAACGTATTTACTAATTTTCGCCATTATGGCTTCACTTACAATAATACGATCTAGTTTCCTTATCAATCCATTCCTTATCGTCTGCAGCTGGGTAGAAATTACGCTCAACACAGACACATCGATGCGATTGAATTCGTCGAAACAACCCCAGGCACCGCATTGCGACAAACCGGACAAAATTGTACCCACAGCGCGGAAGTCCATGCCTTCACCACAATTGGTGACAACACACAGCAGCGCCATAGCCTTGGCCAAATCTTTAACGGTCTCCGTTTTACCAGTGCCAGCAGGTCCAGCCGGTGCGCCACCCAAATTCATAAGCAACGCCTGTGTTATAGTCAAATAAATGCGATCCGTTAGCGGCGTGATGACCAAACGCCCATTCAAGCCCATATATTCATAACCATATTCGAATTGGCCTGAACACTGAACGACATACAGATTGTCGTACAATTTCAGCCAATAGAAACGTAATTGACTCTCCCAACTGAATTCGCTTGCGTCCAGAATGTTATCACGCACGAAAGCCTCGATTATATCGCGTGCATGCACATCGATTGTGGTGATAGTTTTGAATTTGAGACGATCGTTACGCGTCAAATTTGAGCGCACCTTAATGACCAGCTCTTCGATTTGATGATTCTGCTTTTCGAGGAAATCCTTCATGGCGCGCATATTGTGATGATTGGTAGCCTGGTCGAATGCCTCCTCCACCTCGGCTGTCCACCACACAAGTGAAGCGGCAAGCCCCACCATGCCTTGATAGTTCAGCATCCAGTCGGGCCTGCAGAGGCAGGAGAAGAAAAGGAAAATCCATAAGTAAATGATGTGCAATTGAAATAAAGGCGTCGTAAAAATGTGGAAGAGCTTAAGTGAGCAACGGATGGTAGCGCATTGCATTCATTTGAATGAAGATATGTATGCACGTACGTAGATATGTAGAAATGTGAGTGTCACGCGAGAAAAGAAAGCAAGAATGCGGTTCGTTCGCTAGCAAACTGCCTGGTTGGATGGCTGATGGGCGACTGCGAAGCGTTCGATTCCGGCTACTTGCTGTGATATTATGTACTCTCAGCATAATCGCTGGTAATAAAATGTAAATCGCACAAAACGACAAAATTATTCATTGTTGGCAATAAAATGTTGCAGGCGGTGCGCTACCGAAGATGACAGTCTTGGCAGCACAAAGCTTAGCGGCGACACTTACAGTGGTGACAAGGAGGAGCGCAACTCCAGCCATTACGTCATGCTCAATTGGACAGTGTAATAAAATACTTTCCAAGCTGCTAAGCGCTTGCGTTCGCCCTCCACCACGTCCGAAAGCAAAGAGGGCCCTCAAGTTCGCACTGCCAAACTGCGCAGCACGATAAATGACCCGCGCGATGAGCATTCCCACCCAAAAGCTTACCTTGTTATTTCCAGATCAATGCCAAAGTCATAGATGGCACGCTTGGTGATGAAACGATTTGAGCGTCGCATCTCATCCAGCACGTCGCACATCCAGTTCTCAACGCGACCCTTAGCGCGCACTGTAAGAGGGAGGATGAAAAGTGATTCGGGGTGAAAGTCGATGAAGTTTGAATTGGGAGTGCAAGTGTGGCGTATCGACAATGTCAGTAACCACAATATTACAAAATCATAAATAATAACAGTACAAAAACAATATACTTGGCAACAAAAACAAGCGAGCTGGAGTAGCAAAAGAAGCCAACAAGAAGAGAAACGCAGTTATTTTAAGGACAATAATAAAAAGAAAGCGTAATAAGCAACAGCAGTCGTGGTGCCGATAATCATCTCTGGAAATCGAAAACAAAATTAAAATTCTCGAGTGTACGCGAGAAGATTGGGGAAGCCGAGTGTGCGCGCCATTTAATAGCGCGGTCAGTGGCGGAACTGATTGTTAAATAAGAAATTATGGATATTGTTGTGGCTGCACCGTGATTTGCATTGAGTTTGTGCGAAGCCAGCACCGCCAATTATCAATGTTCGGGGTGGAATAACCGTCAAAGGACATCCGGATCATTGCTACAATTAATTAAAAGTAATAAAGAATACAAATAAAAAGAATCTTTCGATTTCCGACATAAAAAGTTCAATTTAATTTTGCCAATTCAGCGTTCGTCCACTGCAACGAACCAAAGCGATGGGAGACAAAGAGAATAAGTTGAGGGTGATCAAATCGCTTGTGTCGTTTTGAAATACTACGAAATAAATTATATCTAAAAAAATAGAGGAATATAAAGATGTATAAATAAATAAATACAAAAGTTAAAAAATATATATATACATAAAAAGAAAATAAAAATAATTAAATTAAAAAAAGTAATAACAAGTTTCGAAACAATAATGGAATTTAAAAGATATTTATTTTAAAATGTAATTAAAATAAAAAAGGAATGAAACAATAGTTAAATTTAAAAAAGTAATAAAATAAGTTTCTAAAAATTAAATGATGTTAAAAAATGTTTCCTTTTAAAATAATACAATCTAAAAATTTAAAGAAAACAGACCTAAGTACAAAAAAATAAATAATAAAAAAATAATGGTGATTCAGTTTCTTACAAAAAATGTCGCCTTTTTATTGCCCATTTCTCTTTTGGCGTTCGATTCTAAATAAAAAGTAAACGGTGGGAAAATTTTGTGTTACAGGATTGAGTGTAACGTCAAATACATTTTGCATCGCGGAAAGGAAATGTTTTTTGGAAGAAAGGAAATAAAAAAAAATATGTTTCTTTTTACAACAATAAATTAAAAAAAAAACAAATGAGAAGGAAAATAAAATAAAATATGTTTCTTAAATTAAATAAAGTTAAAAAAAATCGTTTTAAAAAAATAACATCCAAACACTAAATTAATAAAAAAAAACAGATTAAAGGAAAGAAAAAAATAAATTAACTTAAAATATTTTTCTTTTTATACAACAAAAGCTAAAATTAAATCTAAAAATCAGGTAAAATAAAAAAAAAATCGTTTTAAAATAATACAGTCTAAATATTAGAAATAAATGAATTTGCAAAAAATTTAACAAGGAAATAATAAAACAGGTTCTTAAAATTTAAGTGCAATAAATAATATGTTTCTTTTCACAACAAGGAAATCTAAAAATTAAATGAAAATTATACAAAAAAAACAACATTAAAAAAGGAAAAGAAAATAAAGTGCCTAAAAATTAAAAAAATTAGAAAAAAATCTTTTTAATATAATAATAAAAATATTAAATTATTAATAAAAAATTATAATTAAAAAAAGAAAAAACATATGTAAACAATAAAATCTAGAAATCAAAGGAAAATTTATAAAAAAAAAAATTAATTTAAAAAATTTGCGCTGCACGAGGATTGGGACCTCGGATTAATCAAACGGCGAGGCGGTGTGCTTTGCCCACTCGGCTATTACGACTGTTGGAGCAGCGCGAGCAAAATGATTTACAAGTTCCTTCTATCAAAAGAGCTTTTCATCATGAAAGTTGTCCAGCGAGCTTTTTTCCTAGGATTTGCGTGCTAGAATAAACATAGTCTTTCAGACTACCTTGCCTACTGTCTTTCAATTGACTTACAAATGACTTTCAACTATCTTAGTTGAGAGTTGCCTTGCTAATACCGTAATCGGACGCCTATTACCGTAGCTGTTTGAAGAACGATGACGGCAAACTATTTTAGCGACACGATTTCGCAAGACCAAGGGCCTAATGCACAGAACTACGAATCGGAAGTTAACTACTGAAAATCTATAGTTAACTGCCGATTCTGAGTTAACTATGCATTGTGAATTTGGCCTTAAGGTTTGAATATCTTGGCACGTATTTTGTAAACAATTCCGCGGAAACATCAGCTGCCTATGGGACTTTATTTTGAGTACCCAGCTTTTTTTAATTAACTTTGTATGGTTATAAGCAGAAATCCAAAATCACGTGCCATTTAAATTTAGCTTTTGCCTAATAATCTTCTGTTTGCGGTTCCATCACTATTTTTTAAGAAGACATACAATGCAGAAATCGAAATATTAACTTAAAACCATAACGATCTTTCTAGAGCGCGAAAATTTATTTATACCTAAGCGTTATAACATTCTGTTTCAGGTCAACGGTAAGCATTCGCTGTGCAAGTGAAAAAAGTGAGAGGGACTGGGATATGTTATTTGAAATGTTCTCTATCGAATGTGTCTAATTTTTTAAGCTTCCTTCAAATTCTGTCAAATTGGTTTATGGCCGCCAAAATCATTCACCTATGTGCGTTGCCCTTCATTTTATTTTCCATTTTTGTATAGTATATATTTTTATGTTTTACTTTTTTTCACTTTGATTATTATTTTTCACTCGTTCTACCACAGCTTTTTTATTACCCTTATAGCCATTATATATATATATATATAATTCAATGTAGTGGTGCTCGAGCAATCTACTGTAGCAAGTCGCAGTCTGAGCAGTCTGAGCAGTCAATTGTAATTAAGTGTGGCTCAAGCATTCGCTTTGGTGGCGAGTCGCTTTACCCAGCGATTTCACGTTGGACAATATCCATTCATACTTACCGCTATGGCGGAATTCCATCACCTCACCCTCGCTGGATATCATTGCAGTCACGATGGGCTGATCCGAATTGTCCTTGGAGAAGCGCAGTGACTTAATGTTATCGTACATCTGTGTGGCGGGTATATGAAAAGAAATGAAGAGAAGAATTAAAAAAAAAAGAAAAAAATATTATATGTATGTATGTATGTGGTTTGTGCCAGCAATGGTGCATTAAATTAAAAAAAAACTAAAATAATAACAATAAATTGCGGAGCAGGCAACGTCCATGAAGGATGTAGTAAATCAGTTTCTCGAATATAAAAACTTAATAACGGAAGTAAAATCGCATTTATTGTTCGTTGATACGATATTAAATAAATTTGCAAAATTGCGTAAAAACAATAAACGAGCTAGACGCGCGTGTTAAGCGCGCAAACAAAGAAAGAAAATGAAATTAATCAGATTCAGGTTAGTATACGCGTACGTACATATGTACATTCATAAATACATATACTTATATGTTTATTAGGGATGTTAATTTTTTAGCATTTTCCGATGCCGGGATTTTCGGAATGCCGTTATCAAAATACCAGCATCCCGGGATTATTCCAGGGATTCAGGTATCCATTACTTTACAGTGTATTTATGTTTAAAATTTACTATCGCGCGGTGTTATATATATAATGAGCTAGACATTTAATAAAGATATTAATTATTAAATAAAAAAAGGAATATAGCCAATACTGTTAAAAAAAATCAGTTTCTATTATTGCCATCAGTGCAAATTACAAATCCCGAAAATCCCGTTGTTATTTGCCAAGAATCCCGAGATTTTGGCACCTTAAAAAGGCCGGGATCCTGGGAAACTCCTAATGTTTGTACACACATACATAAGTATGTATGTGCGTACCATGGTTGAATGCCTAGTAAATAGTCAACATTAACGTCAACATGTGGCTGCGTAACGTCACAAAAATAAATGCCCAGCATATTAACGCATACAAGTTCATAAACAGCAACATTAACTTTTTTAGCGTCAACCAGATACATATATATACACATGTACACAGGCTATGGTGGTACATAGTAATTCATTTATATACATAAATATATGCATTTTCATAGGGCAAGGAATAGACAGGCACACATCATATATATACTTGCATAAGTATGTCAGAAGGTGTCGGTAATTTGTTGGTGACATATGCTTCAGCTGAGTTAATGCTCCCTACAAGCAATGAAGAAGATACGAGAAACGAGGTAAAATGTTCAAAAGCTATATTCTTAAGCTTATTTCTTATGCTTAATGGGTTTAGCTTTCGTAACTTATAGAGTTCGCTTATTCCGTTTAGATCCTAAATTATATACTGTACATCACTACTATACTACACGGTACCTGTAGGTAAGGTTAGGTTACCTTCTCTGTGATCCTAGTGGTTTCCTCACAAAGAGCTTAGCTAATACATAGCTTCGCCAAGAGTTAGAATATAGACACCGAATTATCTTATTCGTGGTCCTACGTGTCTTAGTAATTTGGGGGATGGTTCCGTATGCAGAGGCCAATGCATGTGTGGATAGTTTATGACCTTAACTTATCAGAGAGTAACCTGAACTAATTCTTTTGAATGCGGTTTAAGGAGCTGTGGTTAAACGAATACGCTTAAGCTCAGACTCAAATTTTGCACAGAAGAAGTGACCTAAAACTTAGGAATTTGTATTGAATATCGAGTCGGAGCTTAAGCTCACTTTTTTGCTTAACGAACCTTGGTTCCATATTCAATTATCTGTAAACGAATAGTCATAAATCCGCATTTAGGCTGAATTCCAAAACATCAGCCTAATTTTGGTGCACGCTCCAGCAGAGAAGAAGTCGATGTGATCAAAACTAACGACTTTAACGCTAAGAATATTTGCTAAAACAGTCTGAAAATTCGCTATATAAAATCTATGGAGATGACATTTGATAGATAATATTTGGAGGATAAGCATAGTATAGAGGATTTTCTCTGCAGACGTCCGGACTTCGCCAGGCTGAGTTGGTGTAGGTACTTTTGAGCCGGAAGATTCATAAGATAGTCTGAAAAGTTCAGAGAGGAGTAATGAATTCCCATACCCATTTGTCGCCCCAATTCATCATATTCCCCAATTGATCATTCAGACGAATGAATGGAAGAGCGCCCTATCTCGATTGCCGGTTCGAATACGCCCTGGCGTTCTTCAACCAAATTATGTAAAAGGGGGAGCTTCAATCATTTGCAGCCGAATATCTATGACATAAGGATGTCATAGAAATCGAAATCCATTATAGAGTTATAGTAGAATGAGATATTTGAAAAACATGTGAGATTTAATCTGATCGCGATGGGATTGAGCTTCAAAGTTTCCAAAATGTACGGCCTGCTTCACCCAGGTTTAGCCCCTAAACTATCGGAGTATTTTTTTTTAGTAAAATACAGCAGCCAGGATTCCAAAGAATAGCATTTACTCAACTATGTTTTCTTTATCCGAATAAATTACTTTATGGAAAAAGAAAAAATCTTTTACAAATGGATATTCCGGAAGAGAACTTAGTACTTAGTGATTTTTAGTAAATACATAGTTACTTAGACAGCGGACTGTAACTTTTTTAAATAATTATTCAGATATGGTTTTTTCAAATATGAAACTTATGTTATTTTATCTCAGATCCTCTTCTAACTATCAGCAGACCATTCCTTTGAGAACGTACTTTTTCTTAAGTTCTGAACACATTAAAAACGACGAGCTGCGGGCCACAGCTTTCAATTTGTTATTTTCATTATCTAAACGATTTGTCGATGACGATATGTTTTTTTTGAACGCGACAGCGACATCATGAATTTATATGAGTTCGACATAAAAGAAGAGAAGAACCTTATCTGTCGCCGGAAAAATAGAAATAGATCTAAACTGGACACAACCACAATCGTCGCGTAGCCCGGTCGTCGCCGACAATTCTGGCTCTGAAATTGTATAGAAAAATCGACAATTGTCGCACCTGTCACCTTTATGAAATAGGCCCCTGGCGGTTTAAAAATTTTAGTTTTTATGTAAGCTGTCGGCCATTTAATGAAGTAATCTTAAGCTGCTCACTTAGTTTCAGTTAGAATCTTGAAAATGCTGGCTGGGTATGTGTAAGTAAGTTCGATAAGCACCCTGCAAAAAATTGTGCGACTATTCTCTAATAAGAGTATTCCGAGGTTACTCTCAATCGGGTACAATTGGGCATTAATTAGTCGCAACTAGTCTCATACGGATAAAATTGGAGATCATTTAGTCCCCGACTCATCTCTAAAGGGTTATATTAACGAATTAATGATAAGTACATACGCACTTAGCCAATGAAACCTCATGTGTACAAGAGTACGCGCTTAACAAAACCGAGAACCCCGGTTCGAATCGTAGCTGGCGCAAATTTTTATTTTTATTTATTAAAAGTAACTGCTCGCTTTTTATACCCCCTTCGGGTATAAAGGAGAACAATCAGTCTCTGCATAGGACATGCTCGAACAAGAGCGAACAAGTTAATTTCATACAAAAAGAGATCAAAAGTGTTATTTGTCGCATGTTCCCTAGCAATAGCTCCCTGAGTAGTCATGGATTAGTCGCATCCTTTGCAGGGCATATATGTATGTAGGTATGAATGTGTTTGCATCATACATACACACACATATATGTATGTATGTTTATGTATGTTGTACGAGTATCATACCTTGATAATGTGATTTTGCACAGCCGATGGTTCGCTGCTGCCCAAAATCGAAAGCAACTCATCCGTGGAAATGAAGTAAAATCGCGGAAATATACGTCTTTTCGATTCCAAATATTCGTTTAATGACTTCTGACAGTTCTCCAAACCGATGCCGAGTCCTTGAATTTCGGGCAAACGGCCAGGCACCGAGCACAGTGGCACCACCAATGGATTCTTGGCACAGTCAACCATAATCTGTGAAATGAAATACAGAAACAAAAACAAATGTTAAGGAAAATAATATGTACAGTAGTATGTGAAATTGTTGCACGATTAAAGCACGTACATATGTACATATGCATGAAGAAGTATAAGAAGGTGATGGAAAAGAAGAAGGAAGGCAGGGTAAGGGAATGTGCAAAATGAAATCAAAGTAAATAAATCACATAAATGTGCAGCGATTGTGGCAAATGTGGCAAAAGTAAGTGGCAAGTAAGTAAGCAAACTCGGCAAACAGACGAAATGTAATATCAAATACTACTTGGCACAAGGTTAATATATGAGTTAGATTTCAGTTAAAGGCATTGTGACAGTTGTGGCAGCGATGTTATATTTGTAACTATGCAGCATTTGGTGACGACAAGAACGTCAACATTTTGGCTGCTAACAGTTTTACATGCGAATAGGGGCGAAAATTTGTTTTACACTCAAGAATGGCAAATGGGATATAAAGTGAATTATTATGTATAGAAATGGTGAGTCCTCGTCAATATGCGCTGCAGCAGTAGAGTTAATATTAAAAAAAAAATTAGGAAAAATCTTTAATTAAAGAAAATATAGTAAAGCTATTCGAATGACACTTTGTGCGAAACAGCTGATCTTCTCCTGACACAGTTCCCTGACAAAACGAATAATTACTTACTTCGTACAAGTTTAGTTACTCGCATTTTACTGTTTTATTTTATTTAAGAAATATGTATTTTAAAATGTAAAAATAGTTAAAATGTTCTAAGCAAAGAGAACGTAAACAGAGCCGCACTTTGCTAAGCAAAGGGCCGCACTTAGGGTTGTTCAACTTTACTAGAAAGTCGAATTTCGACTTTTCGATCGACTCTGTACAGTCGACTTTAAAAGTCGACCTATCGACGAAGAAAAGTCTAATTTTTTCGCCCTTTTCCCCGAAAATTTGTCATCCGCCCATAGCAATATCATGGAAACCAAAAGTGAAAAGTGAACCGGTTCGGGGAAAATGAGACCCATGATAAGGCTGATTTATACAAAAAGGAATTTTTTGTGAAGGTCATTGGATTTGTACCGTTCTTTCGAATTTCAAACATGAGAGGTAAAGTAAAAAAAAAGAATCTATCCGAAAATGTGCGTAGAGCGAAAACATTTCATACATCTTATGCGGGTTTCAATGTACATACCTAGAACTATAGATGTGTTAGTTCGTACGAGATGCTAACACATACCTTCGCTAACATTTCCACGGTCAGATGTCAACATTGTTGTGGTTCGCGTTATTCCTTCCTCAGAAACATGTACATATACATATTTGTGTACATAGATAATAGGGTGTTCGGCTTTCTAGTTTTTTCCCGAAACCGGGTGTTAAATTTTTGCTTAAACAATCCGGTGTATTCGATTTTTGAAAAATTAATCGTAATTTCAGTTTTTCCAAAAAATGTTGCCCTTCCATGGTGCAAAATGTGTTTGATCTTACACCTAACCCTGTAAAAGGGCACATTTTTGCCTAGCTCACGTATTTTATAATATTGTCGTTTTAAGCAAAAATTTGATTTCGAGAGCAACCAAAGCTTACAAAGCTTTAAAGGACAGAGAATGTTAATTTTTTGTCTTACAAGAGTGTGAAATGTGAGAAACGAACATACAATTTCCTCACCCACCCATTGCCTCTACTTTAGATTCGGGAACGAAAAGAGAAAGGGGAAATCAAAAGGCAACATTTGTTGGTAGAAACTAAAAAACCATAAGATTGAAAAATAAAACCGGTGGAAACCGATTTGCAACAACCGAGTCAATCACACTAATACATAAATACATATTCCGACCGAAAGTACGCAAGAATAAGCTTTCACATGAAATTGTGTGCTTGGTTGATGTTTTGCATGAGCATTAAATTCACCGTTAAGTAGCACGACGCCACATTGTCGACACATGAATAACACATTGAACATAACCACCTATGTACATACATAAATACAAAGCACTTACCATACCACTCAGTCATACGTATTCGCAACATTGCCACAAATCACCATAGAGTTCAGGTATCAAATTCCTTACTATTCCAAGGCAAGTGTATGTACGATTTTATTTCCACGATATATATACATATATGTATATATATAAGTACATATACTCACCCTACGATATGCTTTGTCAATGTCATCGAATTTCTTTGCCTCCTCTGGCAATTGTGCACGAATATCACCGCCAATGAAGATGCCCTCCAGATATAGCCACTTGCGTTGCACCACCTGCCACTCGTCAATAATTTCACCGATCAAGGACAACAAGCGCTCCCATTTATTGACAGTCTCCAGAAATGGTCCAATGAACCTGTCAATGCGATAAATAAGGTGAAATATGAATCAGAATAGTTCGGTGAAATGAAGCAATGTGCTGCCACACTGATCCGATGATGTCTTAACTAATCAGCAGGAAAATGTCATACGAAATATTCTTGTGCGCATCGTTTGAGCATTGTCATGGTAACACTTGCGGTTGTCGAAGGACATTGTGATGATTGAAATTGAAATTGAATTGAACTAAGTATGTACTCAGAATTGTAAACTGCGTGAATAAAGCTTAGCATTTGACACAGCTCTTTCAATGAAATATGGAACAGGAAAGAGGGTGACAAAGTATACATACCAAGCGCATTTGTATATACACCAATACAAATATGAATATTTTGCTTGACATGCAAAGCATTGTTAGCTCACATAATTACAGGACATCACTAAATAATTACTATACGATGCAAGAGAGACACCAAGAGAGAGCAGGGTGATCCGCTTAACGTTTGAACACTTACTGTGAAGCACCCATTGATTGCAGGTTAGTTGCGTTATCCTCCAAAGTCAATACGATTTCTTCCACTGAACCCAATGTATAGCCACGATCTTCGTTGCCTTTGTAATGCTTATGCACCTTGAAAGCCATAGTAGCCCAAGTGTCTTCGACTGCTTTGACGCCACGTTCAATGGCCAACTCTTTGATGGCATTATTTAGAATTTGCTCAGCAATTTCCTGTTGCAATACAAAACGTGAGCCGATTAATATTTAGCAGCTAAAGTAAGCAAAGTTTAATTGCATAGGTACCTGATACTCGTGTAATTTCATTGCAAACATATTCTCTAGTGTGAAACGCGCTGGCGCCATATCGAAGTGCTGGCCCGTCTTCTCCATCAATTGCATCCAATGGCGTTCACGCAGTGCCTCATTCTTTAAGCTGACCATAAGTGGTACGGTATTCTTGAATTGTTTCATACTCAACTCGAGCATTTGGCCAGAAGGTAGCATACGAACCTAAAGGAAAGAAATGAATTACTTACTAACAAATGAGGCAAAAATAGACTTTAAATAAACTTTAATTTAGACTTGAGATTTAAAACCGTGATTAGTAAAACTGTACTGAAATACATATTGTAATGTTATTCTCAAGACAATTCTTATTGCTATTAAAAATGCGATACAAACAACCACTGTTCCTTGTGTAATTAAGAGCCCCATTTAAACTGTGCTCTCGTTTTTATACTGAAAATATTTTTAGCCCTTTGAGGTCGTTTTTTTGAATTGTTATATGTTTATATTACATTTTTTAGTGTAAAGTGCGAAAAAAGTAGGAATTTCGAAGAAAATCGATTCTCCTGTTCCAGTTAATAAATGTTACATAATAAGGACTAGTTTAAAACAATTTTAGGGCGCCGCCAAAACAAAAAGGTAAAAAAAAAGATTAAAAGTTATACAAAAATCACAATAAAAATTTGTTTATTGGGTTTTTAGAAAAATTTTTGGTACGCAGTTTTATAGATTATTAAATATTAGTATAGTAAAGTGCAAGGCGAAGTAACTCCTCTCATCAAACAAACAGTCAGCACATTCGCGCCTTGGCACCCACGTCACTGTTGACAGTTAAAATTTCGAGAAAGTGGCGAATTTCGTTTACTTGGGAACCAGCTTTACCACACTGAGGGGAAAATGTCGGAGTAAAAACAAAAACAAACTAACTCAATTTAACTATATGGAATCTAAATATTTGATTCTTGAAATAAGAATTTCGTACTCAAATCAAATTTGATGCGGAGGTATACAATAATCGTTGATAGGGACGCACAGTGTTTCAAAGCTGCCAAAAAGCTTTAGACCTTGTTGGAATTTTATAGACCTTCGTGGCCTCCAAGTGAACTCTTTGTAGAGCTGCCCGTTTAACCTTTTGGAATTTTACAGCTAAGTTGATGCAATTTCAAACATAATACACTGACTATAAATTGTATATAAAACTTGACAAAGTCTCTTCAAAATTTCAAACTTTTTAAACAGAACTTATAGAAAACATTTTGGTATGAAGTTTTCAAATTGTTCGCTATTTTATAAAACATAACAAGTTTAGATACATTTAGTTTAGCGCTTTTGGTCTACCTCAGTCAAAATGGGGCGCATCGAATTGTGACACAACCATATAAGCATTTCATAAATTTTTTATTTTCATTCAACTTTTCATTCATACGCCTAATTGTTCGATTGTGTATTTCAATTACTCCAAGCAATCTCAAAATTACCAATCACAAATTGCCAAGCGCACACATTGCATCATGGCAGAGTGGATGGACTTGTTATTGGCCTGACTAAATTAGGCCACTGCAAGCCAATAAATAATCAACATTGCAGTGCTTATCGCTGGCAACTCTCAGGAGCCTCAAACATCGTACTTCACCGCGAACGCGCACTCACTATTTATTCCGATTAACAAGAGCGAGTGGGAGAAAATTGATGCAGTGATGCGGGCTTTATGCGCTAACGCCAGCTTCAACGATAACGTCAACTGAGTTTCACTGACACACACACACACACGCACACAACTCAACCGCAACTAAAATGTAAATCAATTTGAACAAAATTAAAATAATCAAAATATCGCCAAACAACGGCAATAACAAATACCGCAATAGCAGTATACTACAGATGCAGCTACATACACACATACATATGCATACATAGCTTCAGGCGGCGACCAATCCGGTGTTCGAGTGGCCATTCAGGCGCGAAACGATGACCGCCACATTTGTAATGTTTGACATGTTGCGGTTAGCCGTTGCTATTGCCGTTGCATTACCAATGCTGCCTGCTGTAAAATCCACAACGCCGCTCTTTCGCAAGTATGCGAGTATGATCGCTAACATATGTACATATGTATGTATGCATGCAGCGAGTGAACTAGGCGCACCACACACGGGGCCCATATTTAGTCACTTGCATAGCTAAATTAAAATTTCTAAACCTTCCGGAAGGACGCGCGCTCCCTGCGCGTGTAGCCTTGCATTGGCGGGTGCAGCGCTGAAGCTTTCAAAACGAGATTTATTAGACCAACGAGTTGTATGATATTTTGCAAACAATTCGCCGCAGGGACGAGTTGATTGCGCCTCTTGCATGTGCCTAAAACGTACTTACGCTTGTATGTACGTATGGCGTGTTGGCGCTGGCGGCAACTAGTCTGAGTTGTAATAATTCACGTTGACATCGCTGAGCCTACCAACCACAACCATGCATCAGTTGTGCGGGAGGTGATGGTCGATTGTAGGAGCAATGCGACGGGCAACAGCTGAACAAATTCGACCTTAGCGGCTAAGCAAACAATATGAAATGCCAATGTTTTTTTAAATGAAATTGATTGCGAGCAGCTAGAAAGCGTATTGCTGAAGTAGTTTAATTTAATTTATGAAAGCTCGCAATGTGTAAAGGTGGCAGCAAGATAATTTGTATGTATTTTGAAATACATATAAAGGTTCATATAGACTGTTACAATTTATTTGAAAATGGCAATGAAGTTAAATTTTTAGTGAAATAACTGAGAAAGGTCCTGCAGTATGAGTTCGGTGCGCTTTACGTTTTTAAGTGTTTAACCCTGCTCGAATAAACTATTTTATTTTAAATGAAAAATATTTCTAAATAAAATGCATTTAAATAACAAAGTATACATATACAGTAATAAAACGCTTGATGGATTTGCAAAAGCTGGCTCGTATTTTTATTTTATGGCCTACTGAAGTTTTCATGTCCCAGCCTAAGTAGTTTTCAAACAAGTGGAAAAAATGGTTAAAATAAATTTCTGAGCGGAATTAAAGGTTAAGAAATGTATAGTAAAATTTTAACCCATTATCTCCCGCCTGAAAGGATCGTTTTGACCCTTACTTCAAGAACCCAACAAACCAAAAAAAAAAACAAATTAAAATAAAAAATCAACAAAAAAAAACTTCGCTTTTTTACATTTTTTACATTTTTGTTTGGCTGTTATTCCTTCTTAGCATAGATTTTTGTACTTTAATTTTGTACAGACTTACGTCGGTGACTGGAGGTTTTGGGTTTTTGGCTGAGAACACCCCTAGGAAAATTTTTCGAAGAATAATTTTCTAGAATATATAAATTCTCTTAGGACCTTCCAAATTTGATTTTTGCGGGGTTTATTGAAGTAAGGGTCAAAACGACCCTTTCATGCTGATGGTTAACGCAACGAAAGTATTTCCCAGGAAATTTTGATGAACTCTGAGCCCAGTTTGTTGGATTTTAAAATCCGAGGTGTTCCTCTCTCAACTCATCGTTGCCAAAAGCTTCATACTTAATCCTCCAAAAGGCGGTTAGTTTAGGTTTGATTATGCTGGCTAACCATCAGAGCTCTCACATATACGAAAGTAACGCCAATAATAGCGTATACGATCCTCAAATCAGCGCTTTTCACGCAATGTTAAAGAGCATTGCCGTTCCTTTAATGAATTGTGGTCGACACTTTGGCCCTTTGCAGCTGTATCTTACCGAGTAACGAGAGTTTTTTCCTACTGAAGGCTGGATACCCGCAAATGCTGCACAGTTTCCTCTTCATATTTACACTTGTAATCTTTTGAGGGAAGGAGAAGCCTTCCTTCGCAAGATTGTTAGCTTTCTCATGACCTTCGACATCCTTGTGTCCTAGGCCCCAATACACCGTGCGACAGGGAATTTTACACAAAACAAAAATCAATATATATACTGGTGCTCGAGAATAACGAATGATTTTATGTCCTTACCATTTGTTAAATTGAAAGTTCGTTTTATCGGAAACATAATTTAATAAAAAATTACGATGTTTTTGGAAATTTTGTATGCCTGTTTCTTTACAAAAAGTGAAGCTTCCAACGAAGAAAATCGAGGCACAACTAAGAAAGGAATGAAAATGCGCAAGGTTTTTTTTTTGAAAAATGTGAAGAAAAGAGTGTTACATGGGAGTGCATGGCGTATGAGTAACATTCTTTCTTACTAATTTTTCATAAAAAAAGTCTGGTTTTTTTTTAATTTAGACTTTTTTCATTTTTTTTGTCAAAAAACAATAAATCTGGAATTATTAATTAATTTCTCAAAAGCTTTCAGGCCTAGCGAACAGAAATGTATGGTACATACGGTTAATGGAGAATTTTATTGGCTTTTATTTGCCGTATTTTGTATTGGCTCGTGAGATAAGCGATTAAGTGGAATCAATTTTTTTAAAGCTGAATAACGGTAAATTGAAAATATCTCGAAAACTTATCCATAGAAAAAAATTAACACCATTTTCAAAGTTACCGAGCACATAGGAATTGGACAATGGCATCCATAAAATATATATATAAAAATATATAGCTTTCTTACAGTCAGCGACGGTAATCGAAATTGTTTTATATGAAAGTAGACCCTTATTGGCCGTCTGACTATCTATGTAAATGTTTATTAGCACCCTGTGTTTACCTTCAACTCTACGCTCATGCGCAGAGACCTTTCGAAACTCAGACGCGGGATCACGTGGTCTATTCGCCCTGTTAAGGATGATGCTATACTACTGTGACCGTACGCCCCCAATGCGAGTTACTACCTGCATCAATTTGCTTTAAGCCTATGTACACACATACATGTAGCCTTAAATGCCTGCCCACGGATAACGGTGATAGGTTTAGCAGTACATAAAAAGCAGAAGCGTTGTGCGGCAAGCGGCCAACAGAGTGGAGCATGTACTTTTTATGACAAATGAACGAGAACAGTCAGTGAAATAAATGTAATGGTATATATTTAAATTCCGAGATGAAAAATTAAAGAAAAATAGTATCGTCGGATAAAGGCTTATATTTAACTTTTAAATTTACTTTCAAAAATAAGAGGTTTTTAATATTTTTAATTTCTTGACCTGAAGAAACTATGCAATTAGCTCTTTAAAAAGTTAAAGGCATATTTTTTTGCTATACTTGTCTGAAGAAATCTAATTGTATGGCCGCAAGAACTGAAAAATACATTAGCAATTTTTTTTACAGTTCAGACATTTTCCGATATGCCAAATTTGATGCAATTCAGCAGAGCCCCTTTAAACGAACTGAACTGCATCACTACTAATTGCATCACTGCTGACTAATTGCTTTTGATAATTAGGAAAACATCAGAAATACAATTTTTCAGATCATTTTCAGAGTCACAGTGAATAAAAAATCATCCCGACCTTACAAATGACTTTCAAAAGTAAGATTTTTAAGTTTTTCCCTTTGATTTATCTGAAAAGAGAATGTACTAATTAACTTTGAAAAATTAAAATGCGTTATTTTGTTTGTCTGATCATGGAAATGGATTCTTCGACAAAATGACAGTAAAAATATATGCTTCAAACTTTTTAAAAAATTGCATTGCGACATTTTTTTCAAAATTTTCTTTTTGATGCAGAAATGCATCTAGAAGCTCTAGGAATATTTCTGCATCAAAAGAGAAAATTTTGAAAAAAAAAATGTCGCTTACGTTATTTTGGCGGTTAGGTCTCGATATGTATTTCCCAAGAAATGGTATGAGAAACTCAGCGGATGGGGTTGTCACTTGGATTACTTTTTAAAGAAGCCAACTAACTATTTCAGCATAGCAATGGCCGACCAATAGTCAATTGTCCAACTTCATATAACTTTTAACTAATTAAAGTGTACAGTGCTCTGTTAGTAAGCCAAGCTTTAGGGTGGCTGTTTAGATGTTGGAATCTGTTCATATTGTACCCTTCAAGTATAGTGAGCTAGGTCAGCCACCGGTATTGCAGGGAGATATTTCCACGAAATTCCCACAGTTGTATCATCCTTATTCGACGTCATTCACATGTCCAAATGAACGGCGATAATGGGATCCAAGGTTAATGGGTTTTTGTTTGCTGAGAGGGAGAGAGCTCTGTTTTTTTTTTTACCAGATAAACATGTGTATATACAAATATGCGTAGGCATACATCGAGAGCTTTTAGACGTTCATAGAAGTCAGCACGAATGATAGAATACAAGATTGCGCCGATCAGAGAGGATTTTTGAGAATAACTTTTGGGTGACGTCACACTGGTGCAATTGCGAGAGAGAAATGCCAAAACGTGAGCAAGAATGGAAGAAGAAGAAAAAATGTTGCAAGGAAAACGTAAACAAGTTGCACAAGTGTGACGTCATGCAAACAACGATTCTGTCAACCCTTGTATTCTCTCAATCGTGAGAAGTCAGTACAATTGGAGCAAAAAATTAGTTGAAGCACCCTCTAAGTTTTCATAATATTAATTAAGTTCTGAAGTAAAATCAAATGTGGAAACGGAATACCCGTAAGCCATCTCAAATTTCGCTGATGTGTGGTTGGGTAGTCAACTTCTCCTGAATGCTATTGAACGAACCAAGAACTTAACCTGGCTCCTACCGAGTGTTATTTATTACGCATAACTTGTTTATGGCGGCCATCGTTCGTATCACCACTTATTTAAAAGAATTCATAAAGATAATAAAAGGAGCAAATCAAAAGAATGCCATACTCCATTTATTATTTATGTATGTTTAACGCACCTCAGACCAATCTCCTTAACCAAACTTATCGCACTTGCAAAAATAAGTTGTGAACTATTGCTTTCCGACCGCCTCAAAATGCAGTCAAGTGGCAAAATCCCAAGTCTGAACTACTCATATCATTCGCGTGGAAAAAACTTTCGACTTGCTAAAATTTATGCATAATAGAAATTTTATGACTTCGAAATTTGTTTGGCTTGTGCAATTAAAAAAAAAAAAAAAAAATATTTCCGTTGTACAACAAAGTGCCGGAAGTTCAAGCGGAAACTGCTAGTAAAGTGCCATAAAACTTGTTAGGCAAGTAAATAAATCAATTTGTCATAATCAGCAGAGAGTAGAAATCGTGTCAGTGCGTAGCAGCTGACAGCGTCGCCGCTGCTGCTGTTTCGTTGAATAAAGGATTATTTTTTGTTGGCAAAATTACAAACGCAACAAGGAACACCTGAAAGTATGTAAAGGAAATAAACAAAAAACACCATGGTGATTGGTGAGCAAAACATCATCTACGGAGTACTTAGAGTAAAACTTGGCATCTATTAGCGGAAAGGGCTTTCGGTAAAAGTGGCGATGACACAAATTCAGCTATAAAGTATAGAAAGTTAATATGGGGTCATATATTACGGTGTCAAAATTGATGCGTATTGAAATACAAATTTGTAATAAAATATGAATTTTAGTTGTGGGAAAAGAAAATGTCCTTCTTTTGTGGTCACAGGTAATATAGACAACGAATTTGGTTGAAGTCCTGGGTAATGGAAATGGAAAATAAAGTTCGAACTCCTATAACTTCTCGTATACCAAAGTGGACATTTATTAAGCCTAACCTAGAACTTATTAAAGAGCTTTAATTTTTTTTACACATATAATAAATCCAGCGTGAATATTAACACTCGGAAAATATGCGAGGATAATATCAATCTATATTACGATCTGCTTATAGTCGACTGAGTGGAAGATCGCCCTTTCCCCGCTGTCGCTTCGAACGCGCCCTATTTCGATATAGATTCTATACATCGGTAGCTGAGATAAGGCGTTCATGAACCATTTCCTGAGAAAGGCCATTTTTCGAATAAATTCCGAAAGTGCGTTTTCAACCATTTTCTGAAATTTTCTGCCGTCGCTATCATCTTGAGGAAAAAATTTTTTTTTGTAATATGAAAAATCGCAGAAGAAAGAGAAAAATATGTGCCGAAGCATCAGCTGCTCTTCTCCACCATGACTCTATATGTAAGCGTCAGGTTTCCACAGTTCCGGAATATTCGTCTACCTAGATCAGAATTCGCCTAAATAGGGTTCCCGGAATATTTTTGTGTTTTTTTTTCTTGGCCTAACAAACTGATGCATAAAGTTTAATTGCTAAATGCTCAAGGTGACCTTTGCTGAATTGACGTTGAACTTTGGCTGAGATTTTGTACGAATATTACCCCACCGGGGGAGATAGGAAAGGTGCTCATATACATGCATATGGAAAATTTTACATGTGTGCGATAAGTCACCTTAATCATAATTTTTTTTTTTAATAAGTTACTTACTTCATACTTGCTGAAAGAAAAGCCTTATCTGGTTCAACGAGCCTCTAAACGGGCGGGCACTCGTGGGACAAATAGTTGATGCAAAGCAAAAAAAAAATGACGACAAAAGCAACACCTTTCTCTTCAAAGAGAGCACTAGTACCACTGAGCTCTCATACGGGCTGGCGCTTTTCATAAAGTCCGGTCGCGAATGGTAGGTTTTTGATACCAGTGACAACAGAAGCTACATAGCTGTACGGGTTTAGGGCAAGTCTACACGTACGACATGGTAAGATTGATAAACTAAGTAAGGTTGTTGCCTATGTAGCCTAACGTAATCATTTTATTCAGGAAAAGTTTAGCTAAAATAGAAATAAAGTGAAAAACACTGATATATGTACATGTCCATATATCATACATATGTATGTATAAATTCCAAATCACAGCTCCTTGTATGTAATCCGCCCAACTAATCTAGTTGCAAGCTATTCAAGCAAACTAATTGGGAAACTTTCAATAGTTAAGTCGTTTCCTAGTTACTTTCATGCCCATATTCGTAACTATATCTATACATCTGTACTATGTACATAAATACATACATACACATACATACCGATTTTGGTAATTTTCGAAACTCTTTTAAGTAACTTTCGATGCCCTCCGTTAGTATTTGCGGATCCAAATCGGCCCATAATGTCTTGGACCAAACTTCTCTTCCAGTCTTATAGGCGTTGTACAGCTTGTACACCTGCAAGTAGAAAGGCAAAGTTCAGTGAGTGGAGATTGAATAAAAGTTTGCAAAAGTGCAAAGTGAATAAACAAATTAAGTAAACTATTGTGCTGAAGTAGCTATGTCTATGTAGGAGCACAATTGCAGGTGCTCTGCCACCACAACCCACAACTCTCTACTACCGGTCGCACTGCACTGCGAATTGGCACAAAACAAATTAATTAAAAAATTAAATTGTTTGCCGTTGATTTGGCCTCTGTGTGCCACCTGTGTACAAGTACTAAATAGACAGCAGCCAGCTACCGGGAGAACTGCGTACTGTTGAGCTGCGTGAAAGTTAGATTGACTGTTTGAGCGATGCGCTGACTTACCAATATCATGCCTTCGTAGTCGGACTTGATTCTTGAGAAGTCATTGTAATCGGCCATTGGCATATCGAAAAGTTTCTCCGCATTGGCTGCATAGGCACCGATGAAGAAAGAGGAAGTACAGCATTGACGATGGCAAAGGTAAAAGCAGCAACGAGCCCGAAGCAAGACGAGATCGCAGCGCGCAATTGTCCAGTGCAATCAGTGCAGGTCCATTGGGAGTGAGAAAGAGAGAAAACTTTATTAACAAAATAATAACTAATGCAAAACAAACTCAGGCAGCAATGCGAGTGGATGAACAGAGCATAGACATCCGTAACGCACAGCTATGTATTTGCGCAATAGCGAAAATAGTTACATAATTGAACAAGTAGTAATCAAAATGAAAAAAAATGAGAAAATCTCATGAATTCGCGAAATTTGCTCATTGGCAAACCTCAAATATCCAAGCGCTACTATACTTACACAATTCAATGCGCCGCTCTTCGTACGAATTCAATTTGGCGCCGTAGACGTCCATCAGCTTGCTCCCTTTATCCAGGTCTGAACCCACTGAGCCGGGCCCGTTCTCTTCAAAGTCCTTGATGAATGCCTCCAGCTAGCGGAGGTGAATATTAAAAGCGGCCAAATGCAAATGAGTTGTGTAAAAAGGTGAATTAGTTAGTGAGTTGGCGTAAAAACAAATACGAATTAATCAAAATCCTAAAATGAACTGCAGCAATGCAAATAATTGTCAAACGGATAACTATTTGCATTCGTGGCTATTGTTTGCATTGCTGCTCGCTATTGTTGCAAGTTAGAACTACGAGATGACTTGGTAGGAAAGAAATTGGAATTGGAGAAAATATAGGTTGGCTTTTGTAAGCGAGAATTTTTTGTATGCAATTTCAAAAAGTACATACATACTAGGTACCTATGTATACAGATGCGTGCAACTAATTAGCAACGAAATTCAAAACGATATTGCTTGCAAATTATGTTTATTTATTTATTTTTAATAATTTTCATTTAAAATATAATTCAATCTATAACAGAAACCACAATAACAAAAGTTGCAAAGCTTGCACAAATTGCAAAAAAATTTATCAAACTTAAAAAAATCGTCATCAAAATTTCAAAATTTTTAATTAGAATATATAGAAAATGTTGGGGTATGCAGTTTTGTAGCCAATTCAATTTTAGTATAATAAAGTGGAAGTTTCAAGTCGCTAAAAATTACCGTTGATTTTTTAGAATTTGTTTTTGTCGAGGGTGTTGCGGATTTTTTTCCATGTCAAGAAAAATTTTGATCATGTGTTATATGGAAGAAAATGTGCAACACGCTCCACAAAAAAAAATTCTAAAAAATTAACGGTAATGTTTAGCGACTTGAAACTTGCACTTTATTATACTAAAATTGAATGGGCTACAAAACTGCGTACCCGAAAATTTTCTAAATAGTCTAATTAAAAATTTTGAAATTTTGATGACAATTTTTTGAAATTTGATTAATTTTTTTTCAATTTGTGCAAGCTTTGCAACTTGTATTATTATGGTTTCTGATATAGATTGACTTATATTTTAAATGAAAATTATTAAAAATAAATAAATAAACATAATTTGCAAGCAAAATCGTTTTGAATTTCGTTGTTAATTAGTTGCACGTATCTGTATATATATGAATGTATATAAATGAATGAACTTTTAATCTATTACAGTCAGATTACAGTCGAAGACTGGTCATCTGACCATAGTGGTCATAGTCGCCCAAGCCGAGCAACTAATTTAGCGGCCCATCCCATGCCATTTAATTTTTAGGTTTAACTGATCCAATCTCTCCTTTATCATGAATTCATAATAGCACACAGATCTGGTGATTTCATTAGTCAAGCTATAGCAGCAAAACTTTGAACTGAAAGCCATTCCTAAGCCGGTACTGGCAGTGTTTCGGTTGATTATCCTGCAGAATATGGAAAAGTTTTGACTGCTTGTTTTTTTACATTTAAATATTTTGTTTATAAAAATTGAGTGTATTATTTAACAAAACGCCTATATATCCAAGTAGGGGCTATGTTACCGTTCCAAATGAATTCAAACAAACTACTGTGGACTGTTTTAAAGAAAAATTTGCTTTACTAAACTTCAGATTAGAAGGATTCTATCTATAGTATATCAAAATATTTCATATTAATTTTGCTCTATTGTATTTTCGGTGCCTTTTTTGGATTAAGCGGATCTGCCTTTCATTGCATGCAAGCGAGAAAAATTCACACAAGTACCCTAATACTTCTCAAAACGATGCACTTTTAATTTCTCTTGCTTTCTTTGTACATATGTATGTATATCAAAATATGAGTTTTCATAAAAGTGAATATGAATCCCTCATAATAACGCCACTTTTGAGCTATTGATGTAATATTACTTCACTTCACACATTTATATATTTTGCATAATTATGAGTTTCGCTATCTAAATATATATTTTTCAGACACTACGGATAGCCATTGTATTATTTTTAAGTGTATGTTTATTACAAATCTTAGTCTTAAGAATTACTATTTATTTATTTTATTTTTCTGACTTTTCCTGTTATTTGTTGTACTATAAAAGATCGTAGATCTTATTGTACTAATGTTTTTTCGCAATAAATGAAATGAAATATTATTGCTCAGTCAGAAATTAAATAAAGCAAATGTGTCTTACTTCACTTGCAATTGGGAAATAACAAAAATTTTCGTTATTTCCCGTTGCCTTATTGCAACTGAAAGCTATTTATCGTATTACGCATGTTTTGATTCACAATAATAAGTGTATTTTAAAGTACTAATTTTATTAAAAAAATGCCAGCAATCAACATTTCATTCGTCTCAGGTATGCGCGCTGTTATCGTTTAAAATTTACACACACACATGCGCATTTTCTAAGGATATGCGATGTTCACTTTTTTATGTGAGACGACTAATCCAAGTTGTTGCAACGATAAATTCTAAATTTGATGGCATACAACGTGCCACAGTGGCTATATCCTCCACCGTTCACGTAAAACCGGCTTGGAAAGAAGCCATAACAACAGCAACAGCCAACGGCTTATTGTCGCTTTTAATTCGTATAATAAACACTTCAATTTAATTCGTTTTCTTGGTTTGTTGCCATTGCCGTGCAGGCAAATGATAATGATGATGATGAAGAAGAAGCAGCAGCGGAAGTTGGGCAACGACAGAGGAATAAGAGGTGCCCGGATGCGCTTACGAAACGAATGAAGCAGAAAAATTGCATAGCGCTAGACAAAAGTGACGAAGTGAAAACGTAAAACGCATAATGGCTATGGACGGGGGAAGGCAGAGACGCAAATACTACTGACAACAGCGACAAGACAGCGTGATGTCGATATACGGACGTGCAGCAAATGAGAGCGACAGGATGCAAGCAGCAAGAAAATGCGGTACGCTATGCTGGAGTGGCTGCGTGACTGCGAGACGCGTTACAGGGTGGGCAGGCTATGCTTGGTGGAATACGGGCTATTGTAGTCGCGCGCCATGAAGTGCTTACTGCTATATAATGGACAATAAAAGTGCCAGCTGCAGTCGCAGTAGTAGTAGCCCTGCAGTAAAATTTAGAGATAGTCAGTATATCAGAACTATCTCTGAACTAGTGCAACACGGATGCTGAGCAGGACAGTTGAAACTTGCGGTGTAAGTGTGCAAATGTTGCGTGCTGCTTATAAATGGAATCTATAACAGAAAAGAAAAAACTAAAAAAAAAATATCAAAAAATTTTATCTTAAAAACGGTTTCATTTCATTTATAAAAAAATGTCAAAAGCGGAACCAGTTAAAAACTAGTTGCAAAGTAATGCACAGGGCGACAATTGCCACCGCCAATGACATCGCCGTGTGAAACTGGACAGTTGAAAGCGTTGCTTGGGTATTGAGCTAGAAGCTTGTAGGCGAAAGGCCTAGTTCTACGCTAGTTCTGAGCTAGGCAGATATACTGCAAGGAGTGTATACACACATACATAGCATGCGTGCATGCGTGTGCCCGGACGTCTGTCAGCGGGCGGCAATATCGAGTAGCGCTAGGCAGACATGCTGCATGTATGCATGTGCATTATACATATATGTATATAAATATCTGTCTGCGTTTAAATACATACAGACATATACATACATACATATGTATGTGGTTATGTTACAGAGAAGTCCGCTGGCGTTCCCTGAATATTCGCTAAAATGATGGCGGTAGAGAAAATCCAATTAAATTCGCATTGAAAACGGAAGTAATAATGGAATGACGAAAACAACAGGGAAGATGTGCAAATGAAATAAATGAAACTGCAAATGCAAGCGCAAGCGGACGAGGCATATGTATGTATGTACTACAGATATGAGGACACATTATGGAAAAAATATATTGTAGCGGCTACAGACTTTCGGTTCGACCATATTGGATTAAAAGATATCAGGTGGGCTAAAAAAAGAAATAAAAAAGCTTAAACATTTTAAATTTGGTTGTTACGAGTACCACGCAAACTGCTACTGCATGCACTACCTATATCTTCCCATGCGTGGTAGATATATGTATGTTAATGCCCAGTAGAAATCGATTGTGTGCATTCATGAAGTATGCATGCTGTATGAGTGAAAAAGTGTGCACAATTCATGAGCGGCTATGAATTTCCAGAAATAAAGCCAAATTTCTGGCGAACTGTTAGTGAACGTACTTTGTTCTTGTTTTAAGTACATTTCTCTATAAATTTGACTACTATACAGCATTACAAAATGTTTGTAATATTTTCAGGCTTGTGCAAAATTTTTAGCGAACAGACGTGTACAAAAAGTGCTAATACGGAAAACAGAATTTTCTTATATGAATCTCTTTAAAAAATTGCATAATTAGCCTGAAAATTTGGTGCTCTCATATACTGTGTTTTTTTTCAACTAACTTTGCTATTTAAATGTACGAATATGAGCTTGTGCAGCTCTTAAGTGTCCTTTTCGGCCAACTGAGTCATGACCGTTGAGTTCTCTAAGCCCGTTTAAATTGACTTTACTGTTGGCAAGGACAGGTTATTCGATTTTTAATAGCAAAATAATATATTTTTTTTCAATAGATTTTGTGGATGTAATAACTAACTATATTATGTTAATGAAAATAAATAAAACTAACAAAACCGGCGACACACGTAAATTTAATTTTGGGTCGTAGATTGCGTAGATAAGGTAATTTTCCCAAAATAATTTAATTAATAATAATGTGTGTAATGTCTCCGAATTTATATGCATAGTTGTGAATGCTTGTCAGAATGGCTTATATCAAATTATTTTTATAAGACTTATATGTACCTATCAATTACAATTACAAAAGGAACACGAATAAACTCAACACACCATTCATATTGAGCCTTAAATTGTATTTTCTTCGCTAGTAATAACATTGCAAAGTTATGTTAATTAATTAATAAAAACACTAAAGGGGATTTGTGTGGCGTAACTGGAATGTTATTTGAGGCGAAGAACGCATTCGGAGCTCCAACATTGCAACAAAAGCAAAATTTAAACAAAATCTTCTACAAGGCAATAATTAATAACAAAAGAATGTGAATAGATACATACTTACTTAGGCATACATGTGAAATTACATGTGCACACAAAAATGAGGTACGTATAGGTACATACATACGTACATACATACATGCTTACATATGTACAATATTACATATTTACTATACATGTACATATGAATGTGCATATACACGCATGCAAATGAGTTTATGAAATCTTACCTCTGCCCAGAATGTTGAAATTTCAACGGATGTCAAATCGGCGAATTTCTGTTTAATTGGTTGCACCTTATCCATGCGGAAGAGTGATGAACGGAAGAGACGATTCCAACGTTTCTCTAGGTGATGTGCCATCAGGAGGTCGTCAAAGTTGAACTATTAACCACAAATAGAATTGGCGACAAAAACAACAAACACCAAAAAAAATTTGATAAAATAACATGCAATGGCGTATATAATGAAATAATATAAAATTTACGACGATGGTTGGTTGATCCCGCGAGTAGATGGGGAATAGTGAGTAGCGAGGATTGCATTGTTGGCATTTCCGTTATTAAATGATTGGAGTGAAACATGAGTGCATCAAATGGGTGTATATAATCGATGAGGATTCCGGTAGTTGTTGGGACAGCATACGTTATTGGGTGAAGCGGAAATGCATATTTTTTGTTTGGAGGCATGAAAATAAAAATATATGAGTAAGTGAAATGGTAACCACAGCTGTATGTACATAAACTTATGGAAATCTACATATAAATATATATATACTAATATTTTCATTACTTATAAAATGCCGACAATTTCCGACAATACCGTTGATTTTTATAATAAGCACATAAATAAATACTAAAGTCGATTGTAGATTGTGAATACTAAAGCGAAGCATAGCTGAAATAAGAATCTTTACAGAGCTCAAATGCAGAATTGGGCTTTATTCGAATAAATTGTTTTTTATATAATTATTCAAACAAAATTTTATCCGCGATATAATTATTCGCTAATAACTCATTCACAACTGAATTAGTCGCGAATAAATTGCTTATGTATAAATTGTTCATTATTTGAATTTTTTTAAAAACTCATTTCTAACACACTGAGCAACGATTTACTTATCTTTTTTGTTATCACTGATTCATCAGTTAATTGAATTCTTTTAGCTACACTCTAAAAAATTTTGTTTAAATTTGCGCATATTAAGATAGGTAACCAGTTTTCTCTCTTAATGAATGCAAATTTACACACCGTGTTAATAAAGTTAAACACTGCTTGCTTACTTTTACTAATCACATGTGTGTTTAAACATTAATTGTTTACAATTTCACAGCATCTATATATTAATACGCTAACGAAATCCCATACAAATCTATTCCTCCCTACTGCTCCTATGTTTCTCAACCAATTTGAATAACTCTTATTTTGTTTGAAAGGTATTATTTTCCGGTAGGTGCCTGATTTGGTTTCACCATCTATGAATTTTTAAATTAATTAACAGAATGTATATTACTCCACCAGACAATATATGTAAGTGAGCTAGACAATTAACAGGTGCTGATGGATCTAAAAAACTTCCCAGGCAAAAGGAAAGTGTGTGAAAAAAGTGAAGTGGTCGAATTTCGACAACGGGGCCGATACTAGTATACATAAAATGTTTAAAATTTGCTGGACATTTTTTTTAGTTTTTTATTTTATGAATATAAAGATAGGTAACCAGTTTTCCCTCCTAATGTGTGCAAAATGAAACACTGTATGTTTACTTTTACGTATAAAAGTTGTCACGTAGAGAAAAATTGCACACAAAGTGTTTAAAATTGAGTAAATATGAGCACTTAGTGTTTATTATTAGTAAAAATATATTTTTACTTTAAAATTTATTACAATTTTAAATATTTCACGTATATATTTATGTGCATTTTTTAAACATCTCATGTTCAAAATCAAATCTTGAACATCTTGTGCGCTTATTTACAAAGGTTCTGGTTTCACCATCTACACTTTTCAGTAGTAGTTTTACATGGACTTTTTAGAGTGTATTTTACCACGAATATTACATATTTTATTTCCATTAGTTTATCTTCATTAGTTATTCGAATAAACTTTCGTCATTATTACGTTCAGGCCTTATGATAAAACCTTTAAATTCTTCTACAGTGTTAAAAATTCGAATTCACTCAATACTTAAGTACAATATAAATACACTCAAAAATAATTTCACAAGAGCATGTTCGTGTAAGTGCTCTTTTTATACTAATGATGATGTATATCTTCAGTCCAATAAGCCAAATTAATTTCAATAGTTTGCATTATGTTTGTTAGAAGTAAGCATACGCCAACTATTGAAAGAAAAATCCAACTAAATATTTCACCCTTAACCCTTCTTTGCATGCTTTTGTTTTTTTGTATGAAATAAAGCTTGAATTATATTACATTCATTCTCTAGATTCAAGAAAAATAAAATAATCCTAGCCAAGCTCTGTACAAAATTATTAAAAAGTAATACATATTTGTATAATTTTTATTTTATATACAGAAACACAAGAAACAACATTTTTTCCACTCAATGCCACTTTTATCAGCAAAAAAACAAAGATTAGTTACACAAAAATATTTAAGAAATCGAACGTTTTTTTTGCAACATGACAAGTTTAAACCCGATAGAATGATTGTGACACTTGATTATTTTTTTGCTGCTACATTTTTTATTACGCAATAGACATGAAAAAGTTGCCAGCAACTATCAATTTACAGTACACCTATTTTGACCACAATTTTTTGTTCACTAAATGTTATGATGGAAATTTCCATCATCATGCAAATAAGGGTTAAATAATTAATCTCTTCATCTCAAAATAAAAGCTCATTATTGCATATTGCACAATTGTGAATTGCAAATATGTATATATTTTCAAAATCTGTGTATGCAAACAACAAACATACACACATTTATACGACCACTCTCCCTTGAAAATGCAAAGCTCTAATACTAGCACATTTATGGATTTTTATCGCAAAAAAAAAATAAGATCCACACGTTTTGTCCATTTGTGTATTTACTTTCAACATTTTTTGGTTAGTTTATTCGAATCTTTGTACATTAATTTCTATAAAATGCAAGTTAATTCGGTCTGCTGCAGCGGCGTGGTGAGTACCTCCTACTCTGCTAACAAATATGTATGTATGTATGTATGTATGTACTTGCATGCATAGAAATGCATGGCTGCTAGTCGAAAAAGCTAGCCAGTGGAGTGCTTCAACGCATAACGAAATCTCCGACTCCGGTTGGACCAGCCAAACGCCATCAATAAATGGATGGACGAGCTGAAAGCTTTCACAATTTAAAATGGACTTAGTCCAAAGGTATGGAAATTTACGTAATATTGTGCATATGCATATAAACGTACATATGCACATACTTAGATACACACATGCATACCATAGGTGTGTGGTAACAGCTTTTCGAATACATTGATTTTTGTGGGGGAAAGAATGAAGTGATTGCCAAATGTGAGGCTAACAAAATTGCTGCTGAAATATTAACAGACATATACACTTACAGAACGGCTTACGAGGTTAGGACTATAAGTTCCTAAAAGTTATAAAAAAATATCGTTGCCAACTGAAGTAAGAGATTTTAGTTGTCAGCAAGCAACTTTTGTAAGTATAAGTTCCTAAAAGTTATAAAAAAATATCGTTGCCAGATTTTGGTTGGCAGCAAGCAACTTTTGTCAGTAGTAATCTTCACTCTTCGTCCCCACAGCTATATAAAAGATTATGCTTTTGCTATATAAAGAGAGTTTACCGCTGTTTAGATGAAACTTTTTAATAGCAGTCGTTTCTTCCGAAAAAAGTTCTCAGGAGAGCTTTGGTCTCACCAAAAGCTCGATTGGTGATCTGATGAAGAAGTTCCCATCGGCGGCAACGAAAGCACGAGCTCTTAGAGCGTACCGTCGGGCAAAGTATAATGGAATTACCGAGCGATGAAGACTAAAACGCCTTTTGCGTGAAGCCAAGAAGGAGGGACAGAATACTGAGAGGGAACTTTTTATGATCTGACTGTTTATATGTATGTCCGAAAAAAGAAAGGCTAAATGCGATACATGGAGGCGATTTTGATAAAATGTGAAAAGCTGCCGTGAATTTTTGCGACTCACGGACATCATCGCGATAAATCCTCCTTCCTGTGGATAATTGGGAAATGAGCTGGGCAACTGGAAGATGAGCTCCTTACTGCTCATTTTCCGTCAAATCCTGAACCGTAAATGTAACTGGTTACTCGTACAAGACCAATGAAATGCCTTGTTTCTTATGATGAGTTACTGAAAAAGGCTCTCATATTTCCCGCATACTCCTCAACAGAACTGCCGCAGCGGTTGTGGTGGTGTTGTTGTTTCTTATATCCACTTTAGCGCGAGGTAACAACGGAAGAGGAAGGCCTACTCGGTAATGGTAAGACCAAATGGAGAAGGACTTCGCTTTACTTGGTATTTCCATTTGGTGTCAGTTGGCACAGAAGAGAAAAGGCTGCCGTGCTCTCTTTGACTTGGCTAAAATCGCTAAGACGGTTACAGCTCTAATCAAGAAGAAGAAGAGGGTGAGTAGTCCGGCGTCCTCTACGCTTTTGTCTGTATCGTGGTGGTCTACAATGACCTGTAGTGGATAGAAATCAGAGGGTGTCGGGATATAAAACTCATCTGCAGAGAAAGGTTTCTGAACATTAATTATTGAGGAAATTCGAATATTTTTAATTCGGCGTGAAGTACAATTGATTGAAATACAATAGCTACGTTGGCTTCGTACGAACGAACAGAAACGATCCAGCTCTTCAAGCAATGGCGTCGGTCGCGATGCTGGTGACAGAGGAAGAGGAGGGTTGCTTGCTTTGTTGGGGATTATGAGGGGAAAGTAGAATTGACTTTGGAATATATTTTAGAAGCGCCATGGGGAAGAGATAGAACACCTCTAAAAAGATAAGCAACTTTCTGTATGAAAACATAATCAAGCCATTAATCAGCCAGTCGCTCAGGTTTTAAAAAACCGGAAAAATCTGTGCGTAAAGTTTGGATAATTTTTGTCAAACAAAAATTTACCCTTTCATAATTTGCAGGGACCTATATATCCAGCCTTGTGAAGCTTATGCATTGATAATAGCGATGTTGCGAATGTGGAATTTTAGACATTCGCGATATCCGATTTGAACGTAGCGGTAGTTTTCAGAAAGGTAAAACTACACTTTTTTCGTGCGCCTGGTATTTAATGTTCGGCTTCGCCCAAACTTTGACGTTTTTACTTGTTCGATTTAAGGTTTTGTAATTTTTAATCTTTTCTTCTGTTGGGACTACAAAATATTTCGTGATTTTATACTTCTCTGGCAAAATCCATTTCACTGTGGTTTAAGTAAAGACTCGACGCATATTTAAGTTTTAAAAATGGCTCGAATATGTACAACCCGTCCCGTTAACGCCCGGGTAACTTCGCAATTACACATGTCGTTTTGTTTGTTATATGTACTTAATTAAAATTAAATTTAATTAAATAACTAAATCAAAATTGCAAATTATGCAGAACATTTATAAGAGATCAGCGAACGTTAGCAAATGTTTATCCAAATTTAAAAAATTTTAATCAGATTTTTAGTATGTTTTTGAGTATGCATTTTAGTATAATGCAGTAAATTTTTATTTTTTTTTTTGTGGAAGGTGCTCATTTTTTTCATACAATAACAAACGTACTGCGTGTGGAAGAAAATGGGTGAACGAAAAATTGCCAAAAACCAACGGTACCTAAGTCCCAGCTACTTAAAATTTACACTTTGTATAATAAGATTCAATCTATTTAACAATAAAAAAAAAAAATTTTGATTTACATACATGGTTTTTCCTAGATAACGAGCTACGCTTTCTTAAAAAAATAATAAACATTAAAAAAACGACAGGGAAATAGCCAAATAATGCTAAAATATATTTTTCCAATTTATATTTTCGCCACAGACATTTTTATAAGTGCACTTGCCCATTAATCGCATTCGCAAAAGCTTAAAAGCTCCAAATTGATTATTGCGAATGCGAATATTCGCAACAACTCAGATATATATGTACGTACACAAATGTGTGGAATTATTTACATATTCTCAAATGCAAATATGTGGGTTCATGTGTGCCGCCAGCCGCTGCTGCTCTCTTTTACTTATATATATCGTACATATGTACATACCAGGGTTGTTGCGAATATTATTGCGAAATAAAAGTCCCTTCCGGGTAATAAACAAACCACTTATCAAATTAAACAAGGTATCAAATGGAAGAGGACTTAAATAGCTTTGGAACTGAAATGCTTAAACGAGAAAAGCCACCTATTAAAAAATATTTAAATAAAAAATTTTAATTAATTACCATATAACAAACCTTGTGTCAGGTAAATGAATTTCTGTAGTATTAAATTACAAAAAAAAAAAAAAAATATAAATGGAGGTCCTTCGTTATTTTGGTTTAAAAGCTATTTCAGTCCTCTTTCATATGATACCAAATTTGTTTAATTTGGACAGGCGGTTCGTTTATTATCCGGAAAGGACTTTTATTTCGGAATAATATTCGCAACAACCCTGGTACATATGTATGTACACATTTGCGCTATCACACATTTATATACATATGTAAATTTTAGGTAACCACTGGTCAGTGGTCGATGGAAGGGAATGAAGACTGCTGGCTGGCTGGCTGGCTGGCTATACTCCTCCAAGGTAGGTACTGGCGCTGGCTGCATTGCATAAATACTAGAGCGACTTTTAGAGGGATTTTCGAAAAATCCTTATTTGAATACAACTAAAGAAAAAAATAAAAAAAAAAGGATTGTGTTCGAACAACCAGCATTTTTTGTTGTTGTTCATTGAGGCGGGTGACTAGCAGATCTGTACTTCTGGCCAGTGCCAGTGTGGGCAAACAAACAAAGTGCGGAGGCTTTTGTAGTTTAGTTTAGTTAAGACTCCAACCAGGCAGCTGCACTGCTGCTGCATCACACAGTTAGTGGTGGGCGTGTACGTGGTTGCTCCAAATGTGGCCACGGCTCTGCTCCTTTCCTCTGCGCCACCTTCACCAGCCAAAGTACTCTCTTTCAGCTGCCACGTGCTTGTGTGCGTGTGGGCGAGTATGTTGGCACACATGCTAACGCATAAATTTTAATTCAAATGCCTTTGGTCAACAGCGTCTAACTAACTGAGCGTTCGTCCAGAAAAGCTTTGGCGTCTGCTATGGCTTTTAGCTCGCCTGTGACGAAATATGAAATCTCTACGCAAATGTGGTCGAGTTAGTTGGTTAATTTAATGTTTGTGCTGGTTGTTGAGTCTTTTGTGAGAAATGCACTTGAACTTTCGCCAACATTTTTCGGTCGAAGTGGTTACTTTTCGAGTTACAATGATAGCTGGCTGGCGTTAGTCGATTTATTTTCACAAATAAAATTTTTAGATAATAGCAGCGCATAATTAAATTTTTTGTATGTAAAGAAAATTGTATAATTCAGTGCTTGAATTATTTTAAAGGAAATAAATACAAACATACATTGGGGAGCAGTGATGAGTACATGGTGATTTTTGTTAAATATTTTAATATTAATTTTTCATAAAAATATGGTTCATGGTTTAACCAAAACCATTTAAATCAAACTTTCAAACTTTGTACCGAGCTTAGAAAAATTTAGCATATTCGCAGTAAAATTTTGAGCTTTTTATTCTTTTTAAGTTTGAAGCGGCTGCAAAATCGCGTTGATTTTTATTATTTTTTCTGCTGACGACTTTCTTCCATGCAAGCATGAATTTCTTATGGAAGAAAATGCGCAAGACCGTTTGCAAAGAAAATTTAAAAAAAAAAATCAATGCGAGTTTTATAAATTGCACTTATTATATGAAAAAAAAACCTACTAACGGAAAGAATATTAAAAATCAACCCGATTTCGCTGCGAACTTCCACTTTACTATATTACAATTTAGTGGGCTACAACACTGCATACAAAAAAAAAAATTATAAAAAATCAGACAAAAAAGCTCAATATTTTAATTAAATTTTTTTATATTTTACTTTGCTCTATATAAAGTTTGATTTATATAGAGCCCTAACCGCCAAAAAGACTTAAGAACTTTTTTTTTCAAATGTGCCTAAGTCATCTAGATGCACTTCAGCATCAAAAATAAAAGTTTAAAAAAAATTTCGCCTACATCTTGTTAGCGGTGCTGGATATGGTTTTGGCCAAAGCATGAAAAAAACAAAACGAACAAAATTTTAACTTTGAAAACCTTGCGAATATTTGACAAAAATCACCATGTGCTCATCACTGCTCCCCACTGTGTGTATGGACATGCACTTCTATGTACTCTGTATGATTCTTTTTGATTTTATATCCGCTTTTAATTAAAAAATCTGTTTGATTTGTGATTCGATTCCTCGACCAAATAAAATATAAAATTTAATTCTGATTTAATTTGTGGGACACATAAAAAAATTTTATTTGTGGTTTGATTTGTCGGAAACACAAAAAAAAAAAAATATTTGTGATTTGATTTGCATTGGGAAAAAAACTTCGAAAATTGTGCTTGCCTTACGGAAAAAAAGTATATTTTTTAAGTGGAGAGTCACGGAACGAACTTATTTTCTGGACGAATCAAGCCACTAACAAATTTTATTTTTATTAAAGCACAAAACATTTAGTCGTGATGTGATTCTTGAAACGAATAATATATTATTATTTAGGATTCGATATTATTTTCAATTAAAAAATCAGTTTGATTTTTGCTTTTGTGATTTGACTAATTCAAAATTTTCCAAGCCTGCTAGTTGCACGTGAAAACAATTGGGGTTTCGCTTCCGAACTTACCTTTATATTGTGTTCGGCTAGCACGGTATAGGTTTCTTGTAGTTCATGGATCCGTTGTTCGTAGGTCAGTGTTTTTGTTTGAATTGTCGAGATTGTTTGCATGACTAATTTAAAGTCAGCTAGCTCTTTAGTTGTCTTATCCAAATTAAAACGGAGTTCCTGAAATTAGAACGAGAAATTTATAAGTCTGTTTAGTCAGCATGGATGTTTTTTTTTTTTAAATAAAATTTCATGCAAGTCCCTGAGTTATGATATTGAGGTACCCATCCAAAGCTAAGTGGCTAAAGTACCAGTACTTGTAGAGCACTTCGAATGCAGGAAGACTAGGTATTTAAGCGTCGTTTGAGTTGTCGTTTATGAAATTCGGTTCTGTGGTACCACACCTATAAGCTGTTAAGGTCGACACCTACGCAAACACATAACCGTGGTACCCGTGTGTCCACGACTTCCAGAGTTTACACGCATTAGTAACTGAACATCTATTCGGAAGCGAGCTAATCTGAGAAATCACAGCCCAGTAATGGGTTGGGCGGTGGCTTTGGACCCAACCTCTTCTTTTCTGTCGACCATGTCAGACGTATAAAATACTACGAGTGAGACCCCGTCTCCGACATTTTGCGATTTAAAACAAAAATACAAGTCTTCTGAATGCTGCGGATACCAGAATTCTTAGAAGTGAAGATAATTCCAGAATATCCGAGAGCAGGCTACACATTGTGGAGCAGTTATGAAAAATAAATTCTTTTTTTCGTCGTCACTGAAATATTTTATGGTGATTTTAGGAAATAGCGTACAAATTCTAGTACATAGCCCTCCATAAGCAATCCTCTAGTTAGTCTATTCTCTTATCTAAGCAAAAGAATTCAACTAACTCGTATGCTCGGAATATTTAGGCACTTACTTGAAACTTGCCTCATTATAATTTTTTTTTTTAAATAACAAGAATGTATGTACATACACATATTTTGACTTCGGGATTTTAGTTGCTGGCCTTTATGTCGGCCAGTGTCATTACTTGCAGCTGTATTTATGCCCGCCAATTCTTAGCAGCCAAGCTCAGTTACTTACTTTGAATTCATTTCGCAAATTTATAATATTTTCCGATGCTTTCTTCGCCAGCAGCTCGCCAAGTGTGGCCCGCCATTGTTGCGCATGCTGGCATATGCTGTCTATCAATTTCTTCAAATTAATTTGTATGCTTTTGATATTCCAATAGGGCGGCATCAATTGCAACTCCTCAATAATATTGGCGAAAAATGTAAATTTCTCATCGAGTGTCACAAGTGGCATGCCACGATTAATAAATTTCTCAGCAATGGCGCGTTTGTCGAAAGCCCACAAGTAGAAATATTGCTTGAATCTGCATGCCAGAGCAACGTAAATGTAGAGAATGAGTTGGCTTCGAATTCGAGTGGAAATTTAAATTGCGAATTTTACTTACTTGGAAATAACGACCTTGCACTCGTACACCAAAGCGTTGGCGACCTCCTGGACGCGTACGATCAAATGGCTGATATCGCGTACCTTTTACGATAGCATTTTTGTGAGTGAGATTGTAAAATTTACTTAACAGCTTACCTTGATGACATCCTCGTAGAAGGTGAAGATGTACTTGTCGCCATATTCGTCGTTGATGGGCGCGCATGGCAAGCAAGTGCCATCCATCCAGCGTGTGTAGATGTGGATCCTTCAGGATAACGAACGACTTTTTTTTTCAAAAGTGCTGAAATTGAAAACCTTAACCCTAACTTACCTCTCTAGATAATCTTTTGCCGATTGCAGCATTATGTTCTGCATCTCCGAAGCTGTCGGCTCCAGCACTATTTCGGACATCATCATGACTGCGTTTACTTCGAACATGGGCGCATCGCCTAACAAGCGCTCTATGTAGCATTTAAGATTACGGTACGTGTTGCTAAAACACGAAGAAGAAATGCATTGTTAATACAAAAGTGTGCAACAGCAGCTTCAATATTCACGCCAAATTGACTCACTCCAAAATGCACTGATAGGTCATCTCTTCCCAATATGTGTAGTAACCGCGCATCTTCTCCGATCGTCCAGTGAAAGTGCCCAACACCAGACTCTCCAACTTGACCAGTACCGGTCCAATAGAGTCGTATAGCTTCTTCATATGTGCACACTTTTCATTGCGCGATTGTTCCAACTTCTCAACGTAACCCTGAAAATGATACATATCCTTGCCGCATTCACTCTCCTGTTGTGTTAGTTCGGCTTCCTCCTCTTTCAGGTGTATTATTTTCACTGCTGAAGCTGGACGATAGCTTTGCCTATCAGTTTGACCACTAATTGTTGTTTCATTTGATTCACAATGAAATTGTACATCTGACGCTCTGGGTAAACGATCTATACCAGTGCGATCGTGTATAACAAAGAGATTGAATTGTTTAATGCGATCGATGCGGCCTTTTATATCCAGACGTATAAAATTAATTTGCGATACAATTGAGGTAAGTTTGCGTATCAATGTGTTGACAGAATCGCAATATTTTAGAATATTAAATGATTGCCAGGTATAACGGCCGATGCCGGTTTGTATGACGATTTCGGTCTCGTATAGGTGGTCGCGCAGGAAATTAACCTAAACGAAAAGGCATTAGGGTATAATGTAAATTAAAATTTAAGAAAAAATGCTTTTGATTGAAAGCATTTTTTCATACTTTCTGGAAAAGACTAGAGCTCCATAGTTCCAGAGGACTTAACGCTCTCAAAGATATGTTCGAAACTAGGATAAGGGAGGCATATCTGTATGTTACTCTCAGAAACAACTGCACTGATAATCTGATCTCCCACTTGGGGGTCACTTCAAAGCCTTAAATGTCAAATCATAAGCTCATACAGTTCTTCCTAAAAGCATCTAATAATGAGGCACACACGGGAGGAATCCTAGTAAGATAGTTATCTAACCTAACTACTATAAACTTAGTGAAAAGAGTAAAGCAATAGGTGCAGTTAGATGCAAATGTCGGTAGCCTAAACAATATCCAAGGGCCAGGAAAGCAACTCGTGGTGGAACTTCGATTTATCAGTTTGCCGGAAAGAGGTGAAAAAAAAAATCTTTAGACTCTTAGGACTCCAGAAAGAACTCATTTTTCTAATCCCGGCGCTAACCAATGCCATTCGGAAGAGCTTGGCACTATCACATACCCCACAAGCGTGGAGGTGAGCCTACGTTAGAATTAAATATAACAAGGTCTAATGTTTCATTGCAAGCTGAAGGCTCACATGAACACTCTGGGGATTATTGTAGGCGACTCCTGTCATTACTGCGCCATGGCAGCAGAAACCACATTGCATTTCATTTTAGAGATCGATACGGTTTCGTGAAGAAGACTAGCACATTTGAGAGGGTTGAGGGCTGTATCCCTTGAAAATGATTAGTTTTATTAGAACACCAGCGCTGGGCGAGGTTTTGTGATGAGCTCTGTGGGCACGATAGATCCAAGGCCGCAGTGTACATTCTCCATCAAATGTTTTCTATTATATTTTCCCGGCCCCCATCGAGATAGGGGCCACATAAAACAATACGGGCTCAACTAAGGTTTCATAGAGCTAATTTATTATTTTGGGCGAGAGACCTCAGAGTATACACACATACCAGTATTTATGTAAACATGTCAGCCTTTCTGTCTTACACTTACCTCGGATAACACTAGTCCATCAATAATGGCATTGTATCTAGCGATGATATTTTCTACAGCCTCAAAATCGTTGAAGAGCATCTCTTTTTTCATAATGGCAGTGCGTAGCACGTTTGGTAGTAAATAGCCGAAATGTTCAAATTGCTGGCCTTCGAACATGACCTCAAATATTTCTGCAATTAAACAAAAAGTTTTATTAACTAATTGCAAAGGCAGTTTGAGTTTAGAGAAATGTACGTGAGTAAAAAAAAATTAACTTTGAAAATTAAAAATACTTTTTTTAATATCGATACTATTATCGATATAATTTGCGATACTTGTGTATCAATTTATTTACTTCTTCTTCTTCATTGGCGCTGTAACCGCCTAAGTGATTTTGGCCGAGTCCAAATTTCTCTCAATATATTTACTTATAACAAAATATATCGATAACATCATCTGCTAATCGGTGAGTTGTTCCATTGGTACTGTTATCATATATCTAAAGATATTAATTAATAAGGAATAAACTAGTTATCTAATAAAGAATGGATGTTTTATCTAATTATAAGCCGATACGTCTGCAATGTAATGAAGTGCCCTAGTCTATTCCAAAATAGGTGAGGTTTAGGTGGTTTCCTCTTGATAAGGGGCCATAAGCCGTTGGTCCTTTGTGATGCCACTGCGAATGGTAACTGCTAGTTTAAGGCACACATTGCAGCTTTCAAGGAGTGAAGTTTCGCAGTTAGAAGACGTTAGTCACGCAAAGCAGCTTTGTGCCGGCTAAGAGTCCGATCCCAGTTGCATATACGCAGTCTAGCAATAGCTGGTGAGCCTAAGACGAAAAGGGAGTGTTATGATGATTCCACCTCATTTTCCTACATACATCTGCGTCAGAGAAGGCCCAGTATGAAGTATAATCTCACTGCGTGAATCCCGATCGAACAGTGATTTGTCGATATACTCATTAGAGTTGAGAGAAACGGCGTTGTGAATATAAAGAGTTCCCTAGATCAGGGGTGCTCAACAGATTTAATTTTCTGGGTCAAACGACAAAAACTTCAGTTCCAACCCTCATTCATTCCCTGGTTTTCTGCGTTGGTTGAGGCAGTAGGATTTGCCTATTTCTTTTATTGTTGATATTGATCCGAATGTCGCATTTATGGCCAGTATCTCAGCCGCTAAGTTTCCTGCGATATCAAATCTGACATGGTAATACTCTGACGTGACCGAAAGAGAATCTCGGCGTTCCCCTATTAGCTTCGAGCATACCATAAGCGAGACCAGCAGTGGAATTCTTGGGATTTAGACAATCGCTACGCTAAATTTCCCTCGCTAAAATTATCTAACTTTAAAGCCGTGGTGCCTAAAAGTACGCAATATGGAAAAGTACCAGAAGCAAAGTGCAATCAGGCAAATCTGGCAGTATGAGGGGCATTTAACTAAACGTTGCATGATGCTTAGTGCGCCTGCTATTCTTTTGGAGACCTATAGCAATCAAAACTAGCGATGGCGAATGCTGGAATCTGGCTGCAGGGCTCTTATTGCTGTCTGGCTTTCTGAATAGATATTAACCTTAAGTTGCTGATATCTCACGTAACAGAAGCCATTAGACTGCTTCCCTGTAACGTCTGCAGTAACGTCCACTTGAAAAACACAACAGCTATTTGGAAACCGAAATTTAAGGTTTATGGAGAGTTCCTTCCCTATTCTAGGTAGAAATGAAATATCCAAAATAAGTGAGAGCTTTTTCACAAATTTAGCTAGTATCTGAAAGTCCATACTCACATCACTACATAGTTTCATATTGTGGTTGTTCACACTAGCCTGGTTATCAGGTTGTCTGGTTTAAAATTATCATTCTTTTGTGTATTTTATGGCTGTAAATTGAAAATATAACCACATAACCAGACAACCTAATAGTTATTTCTTAAAGGGCATAACTGCATATTTTTTGTCGATATTTACTTTTTATTTTATTATTTATTATTTCAACTTACAGGGCGATTCCGCCAACCATATCTCAACTCGCCACAGTCTTTCGTAAAACAATTGTCAAGGAGGTCTTAGACTTATGCTGTTCACCTTTTAGCAATAAGTTTTTTAAAAAGTAAATCAACTTAACAAAATAAACATATATTTATTTTTAAAGCAAAAATAAATAAAAATATTTTTAAAAATTTAATTGAATTCAAAAATTTATATAGTATTTATTTCTTTTTAAAACAATAAAACCCAAAAATTAAATGTGAAAAAAAACATAAAATAATAGTCAAAATACAATCTTACAATGAAAAAAAAAGAATTAAGAAATAAACAAATTAAAAAAAAAAGAAATTCAAAATAAATTTTCACCATGAGTGGTGAATTAGAGAGCTTTTTTCTAAGCCTTTTGTGCAAGAATAACAAAAGTCTTTCGAATTGCCATCTGTCTTACGAAAGACCTTTTACCATCTTAGCCAGAATTGCCCTGTTAAACACACTCCAAGTTTATGTACAACACAGCGTATGCGTAACCTTTCGACCAAAACGAGTACCACCACCATCATTCGCAAAATCAACCTTACCTCTCGTTAGATTCACACAAAATTGCATTTCGAATTCAATTAGAATGCGATCACCAACTAGTTCACGCCAAGTAGGTAAGCCGTCCTGTTGTTCGGCGCGTACAAGCACTGGAAGGAAAAGAAAATTGAAATAGTAGCAAGAGGAATTTCCTAAATATATTTTAGTATGTTAAATATGCACGTACATACATATATAGATATATATCTACATTTTTCACTTAAGCAAAGTGAAATATAATGTTCGCTAATATGCGCTAACAAAATTACATACACAAAAGCACAATGCTTAATGCTCCCTATAAAATCAGTGAAGCGTTTATGCTGTAATAAGAGCGTTCAGATTTTCTATATTTCAGTATATGTATGTATGTATGTATACGCTTTGAACTCGGCGCCAGTGTCAAATTTGCTCTTCAAATAATATCGAATTAATGCTTTTATATATGCATACAAATAGTAGATACATACATACATACATACATATATATCGGATATTCAATATGCCATGCTGAGTAGAGTTATTAGTTGAATTCAAAGCGGTGCGGCGGGTGGATGACTGCGAAGTGGCATCATCAATATTTTACATTCAGCAACCTTTCATGCGATATTCGTTTATTGTTATTGTTTTTTTTTTTTGTCTTTACCCAAACGTTTCTTTTAGCTCGTAAAAAATCAAATTATCGCACGAATAATCTTACAATTCAAATTTTAAAAGCCCCACTCACAACAGCAGTGCCAAATTGAATTCACGTTGAAGGACATTGCTTTTCTCAAGTATTGAATAACCAAGTTGCGTTGCTTTATTTTTCTGCCAGCACTTACTAAACTACGCAAATAAATGCTTTGCTTGAGTGACTGGACGAGTGGTTGGTTCATTGGCTGATTTTAAATTTCGCAGCTTGCTGTCGTGGAATAATTGAAGCGCAATTTTCATTAAACCTCATCATTGGAGCAATGTCCTCAAACGTTTCTACTTCCTTGTTGCCCGTCCGCACGATCATCAGCGATGATTGCGACTATTAAAACGTAGCAAGAGCAAGATAATATAATAAGGGGAAAGCAATGGATGTGCAATGGTGATTTGCGCGAGCGAGTAGGGAACAATGGTGGTGGATTCTTCATACGCCCTGTCGCACCGCGACTATGGCTAAGATACGGTTTATTGAATGTGCTTTTGAGAGTCCATCAAAATGGCAGTTTCCTTTATATTTATGACGCAGTTTTAATGCAAATTTGATTGAAATTAGCTGCTCTAGAAAGTAATGTCTTAGCATGGTACTCAATATCGTAGTTTATATTTCCGTAAATAAATTTTATAGCTTTCTTGCTTGTGAAAATTTTCTAAATTACAGTTTAAAAATATCTATGTGTGCTTTTGTCGGTATAATAAGTTTATGCATGCATAACTATTATGTGACATCTATTAAATATTTGACCGAGGAAATCAATCTTTACATACAAAACAATCATGCATACTTACATTCGGAAATCTTTAGACAAAATTTATCTTTCTCGGTAAGATTTTTCTTCGCCTTAATTGCCTTGACAAACGCTTTGGCTTTCTGTACTTGTATGTTACTTTCGTATGGTCGATTAACTAGCCATTGTACAAGTGTGGCAAATACAGTAAATTTGGTTATCTTACGAACGAAGCCAGCTTCTGCGTGTCCCATTTGCTGCGATGCGCCTTGTTCGCCTTCTTCAGGTTTCTGCATTGAACAGGTAAAATTTTTTGGTCAACAAATAGTCACAAAATTAAGCTTCGTTATTTAAGAAGTATTTTAATGTATATAATGAAGTAAAATACATAAATTGGCTTATAAATATACATACTTATTTTATTTGTATGTACATATTATATATTTGGTAGCGCTATAGGCCATTTAAAGATTGATGGGTTTTTAAATGAATTGAATAAAAACATGAGAGTATATACAAGTCGTTGCAACTTTTTAATTTGCAAGAGGGCGAACTACTTTACATGTATAACAGCAGGCAGGGAAAAGTTCCTTGACCTAACACTGGATTTATCTGAGTTAGTAGTTTTGATCTCGGATTGGAAGGTTCTTATCGAAAACTTCTTTTCACATCACGGCTACATTCAATACGTTCGGGCTTCCTCCAAGAAAGCCCTACGCGAAAATTCCCGCTAGGAATCGTGCTGCCGTAAACTACTTGAGGGATGAGACAAGACATGGTGCCAAAAATGCAAATTTTTTTCATTTGTAGGAAATAGTAGGAGTAGGATTCTATTTCGGCACGCGCAATTCAAATGATGAAGCCGGAAACCTCGTTACCGAGACTAAGGGACGATTTTTTGTAAGAGATATTGGTTTCGGGTTTTTTGGGATAAACATAAATAACGGACACAGAAAACAGCATCGCGAAAGATAACTCCCTTGTCACATACATACATTTTACATCACGTAGAATGGGGCTTTGAAGATTGCAAATTCTTCGGTTTGGAATACCGGGGCATATTTCCCAAGAGAGAAGTCAAGACTCTGGTTTGGTCTCTGCAGTATAATTTTATCGGAGAAAAGCTGAGTACAGTACATTTCACCAAAATTATTTATTTACAAGAGAAAAATATATATGTATGATGATGGAGCAATTCTGGATTGTTTAATTTTTAGTTGTGTAATTTAAAATACACAGCCAGAAAACCACTCAAATGTGTCTATTAATTGAGAGATTTCGAAAAAAAACATAATACTTCATCCGCTTTTCCGATAATATTACCGATCATTTTTTCGATGCAAATCTAAGGTATATTTATTTTTTGGCTGGGTGGCTAAATATAATGTTGTATACACATATATGTACATAAATACATAATACTACCGTAAACGATTGGCCTTACTTACTTTGCGCTTTGAATGCAGAGTTTCCTGCGATTCTGAAATGTACTCAACTGCAATGATTAAAAAAAATCTTTGATTACAATTTGAATACTTTGAAAGTTAAAGAAGAAAACATCATGAGTTATCATTTAAGTGTATCTAATGAAATAATTTTATAAAGGAGCATGATTTTTCACTTTGTCGCTTTTCCTCGGTAACTGAAACCAGTCAAAAAACTTTTTACTAATATTTGTGTCTGAATCGTTTGGTGTTAAAAATATCAGTCATCTACGATATTCGTAAGTTTCTACTATTTCATATTTAGTGATGTTTTAATTCTAAATCCATTATAATTTAAGATAATAAATTATTTTCATTTTTAGAATTCTTCACCTTCTGCATAATTACAAACAGAGTTACGAAAATATGCTTTACAACTTTTTTAAATCAGCTCCATATTTGATTTTGATGTAATGTAAGTCTTGTTTGAAAACTTCGTCCGAAAACTGACACAGGGACGTCTTTCTCATTTATGCGGATCAATTGATTACTCAGATAGTATGTGTTTTTGCACTATAACTCTAACTTCAAATCTGAATAATAAATTGTATGCGTGTTATATGTATGTTAAAGTGAACCTGTACTAGATTTCTACCTGCTTAATTTGAGCAGGTCTCCGAACAATCAGTTGTATGAGAGCTAGATGTTATAGCGAACCTATTTTGATGATTTTAGGAGATAGTGAAGGTAATATTAGAATACCATTGCGTGAAAAATTTTAGTAAAATATCTTCAAAAAAACTGAGGGAGTAAAATAGTTAAAATTTAAGCAAAGTTTCAAATACCGCTATCACGAAAAGTGGAGCCAATCGGACAAAACTTGGGACACCATTGAATTTAGAAGGCTCCAGTTAAGTAAAAGCAACTATCAGAACTTTTGTTGAAAAAAAGTTGATTTGATACCACGCCCGAAATATTCTGACTACGAGAAGGAGCATCATCAAAAGCAGTGTGTTTACACACTTTTATAGAAAATTTTTTTGAAGAATTTTACAGGTATATCCAACGTTATAAGGACTAGTAGTTATAAAAACATTTAGATCGTTTCGACGTATTTTACAAATGTGCCTTCAATTCAGATATTTTTGGAATAATAATTACGCTCAAGGTAGCAAAATATTTTATTTTTAAAGTTGGTTTAGTCTGAAAGAACACCTCTTGATTAGATATTAAATTATTTGCAATTGTTTGTAGAATACAATACATACTTAAAAATTTTTTAAAATTAAGTGCTTAAAAAATTATACGCGACAATCCGAAAAACTGGAAAATTGTGATAATTAGGGTTACGCTATATCGTACATAGATGGCCGTACTCGTATGTACATGGCGTATGAGCAACATTTTCCATGATGAAGTGTGCATTTTTTTTCATTCGAAATGCAAACTTAAAATGAAAATATCGAGCCCTAACCGCCAAAAAAAACAACCGATTTTTTTTAAAGTAAATTTTGAAAAAAAAAATGTCGGTTGCGTTATTTTGGCGGTTAGGGCTCGATATCTTGGCAAAATTACCATTTTTGGTATCATTTTAGTGCTCCTACATTTTCCACGTTTAAGTTTGAATTTTTTTTTTCATTCGCAATGCAAACTTAAAATGAAAATATGTTGGAAAAATTACTTTTTTTGTGTCATTTTAGTGTCCCTATAGTGTATTCTACGAATGGGTTCACATTTACGTTCACTACTACAATAAATTTTTGATGTACTTTGCTTCGATACTCGGATAATCTCTGATTTGGAAGACGCCGAGGATTCTCTCACTAAGGCGCCAAACTCATTCAAAACTTTTTTGGACTTTTATATTAAATGCTATGACTTTGATAATAAATCCTGGAAGTTCAGCAAACACAGTTATTATGTTTCTAAAAATGCCTCTCTCTTCTTGTTAACAAAATAAATAACAATACAGAAGCATTTAGAATAACTGTGCTCAAAAATATATTCTATGAATAGTATCTACGAATTTTACAGTTTTTGAGTTCCAGGGAATCATCGAAGGTCGATTTCGACGTGATAAAATTAGGTAGTTGGGGTGGACAATTATCATACTAACAATTGCGGTTTTAAATGAAGCTTTTTGTAAATTAAAAAAAAAAACACTTACATAATTTAGGATTCTTAATTCGTATGCACAATATATTTTTCCGGAAGACAGCGTTAACCATGTAAGTCCCTTTTGCAGTGTACTTGTCGAACATATCCTTCTCGAAAAGATACATTTTATTGACCAATTCAAAGTACTGCTTGAAAGCGCTCCGCTTGACATAACTGTTCTTTAGATTCGGTTCATCTGCCATCTAAAGCGGGTTGAGAAAAAAAAATGCAAACTGTCTGAGCACAAATAAAAGCAAAATACGCGGCGAGTTATACAACGAATTAAGAGTGCAAGTAAACAAGACCTCAATGCAATAGAAATAAAATTAAAATACAACAGCAACAAAAAATGAATTTTAATTTCTTTGTACTTGGCAACGAAAACGGATATTAAAAAAAATGCATACGAAGGACCAGCGCTGTGTGAACGTGGTGTAACAGTCAAGGAAAAATGGCAAAAATTGTAAATAAATAAAAGCGTAAAATATCAGAAGGCTGCCGAAGCAATTTGCAAAGTACAAAAGTACTACAACAAATACAAATTGTAGGCAATAAATTACCGAAGCATTAAAGTGTATAAAATAAATGCAACAACAATGTAGCAATGTTGGCGCTGATGTGCGGGCTAGAAACGCACGGACAAAACAACACGGTGATATACATATATGAAGCAAAACATGTCTGCGTTAGCGCCAGCAGCTAGCAACCTGAAGAAGAAGAAAACTAAAAAAAATAAAAAAAAAACAAAAAAAGAGGAGATTAAATACAAGTCAGTAAAATAAAATAAATACTATGGATGCAAGGAATTTTAAGTGGAATCAACAGCAGCGACTACTACGATGGCGAGTGTTTGCGCCACATAACAGCAGCAGCCAAAAATAAAAACACAAAGCGACGCCAGCGACTGAAATTGAAATTTCAATTAAACAAGAAATATCAACAACAGCGCCAAAATGCAAAATAAAAAAATTAAAGCAAAAATTTTTAGCGAATAAAAAATAAGTAAAAGCAAATGCAACAATAAACTGCATACACACATACATGCATATACAAATTTCGTCTACCATACCACCAATACAAAGCATCTACTACTGTTGAACGCAAACAAAAAAAAAAACTCCAGCTGCAACTGCACATTGCAACAGTAACAACAACAGCAGCACACAACAAACACAACCGACTATTATTCACACTGCATGTAAATGCCGCCGGACAATAATTGAACGTTTACCCTTTTGAATGCCAACACAGAGACTTTTAGTTTATTGGTCAACAGTCGCGCCCACTGAATACAGCCGATCCGGAATGGCTGGTGCTTACCGATTGGTGGATTTTTGCGATTTTTCTGTTAGCAAAGCAAAGAGAAGAAAAAGAAATTGAAAATTTGCGATAAATTCACACAAGTAGGTACATAAATATGTTTGTATGTAGGTTAAATATGTATAACAATCAATTATTAAATAATCTGCCCTGATATTAGAAATGTTATACAATTAATATAAGTGTATACTAATTTAAATTAAATAGTTGCGAAGCCAATGAAGTTTTCCATCGATTTGATAGGGCGAAATACTTTTTCGTAGAAGCGGTTTAGAATTTGTGAAAGTTAATATTTTGCGATCGGAAACTCGCCTTCTAAAAAAATTACCCAATCTTTTATTAAAAAATTTTTTACCTACTAGGGATTTTGCTTGGGTCCCTTCCATGCATTTTTTGAAGTTAACAACAAAATTAACTAACTAAATTCTTTGTTTTTTTGTGTATATATGCACCTACCGTATATGTGAATTCCACCGAGTTTATTTCCGTTTGGAAAAATCGTAGAATATTTTCATGTTTTGTCGATATGAATTCAGCGAGCTCCTTGCGTGTGTCTATTTCATTGATTGTCTTAATTAGCTCCAGACCCATATCGGATGAACGCAAGGTATTTATGCTGCGTTCAATTACAGACTTTGCATCAGACTCAACGTTCTCCAGCCGGCGATTGAATGTCTCAAGTGTGTCCTCCCAATTTTCAAAGTTGCCGGGTCTAAAAATATCGTAGTCTACACTGGATAACATATCGTCTAACAAGCGATAGACTTTCTTCATCAAATCATCTACAATTGACGGGTCTGTAATTAGTGCTTTGAGCCTGTGGCCGAAGAGATTTTCATATTGAATGAAAACGCGTCCAATGTAGGCAATATCCTGACTGATGTGACAAATGTGATCGACTTCGGAGAAGAGTGTCTGTCGATCGAATTCCCAACGTGAACCAACGCCGGAACTTTCGATATACGAACGGCTAGCGAGGTAAGCGGTCTTCCAGCACAGCAACAAATTTGCACAATTGGTGGCCGTCTCATAGGTATATTTGGCAGAGCGACTGAAACGGGAGAATAGCGGGAGCGAGATGAAAGGGGGATGAGTAGGAAATATGAAAATCAGGAAATGAGGAAATGAGAAAATTCAAGCACTATAACAACAATATAGCAACCGGTAAGTTTCCCTCCACTACATCTTAAAAAATGCAATTTTCCGGCCAAGACTTTTCTATGCAATATTGCCACACTGTTAAGAGGCCATTGAAAAGTCGTAAGCAGAAACTGGAAATGAGAATAGACGAGCAAAATTAGAAAATAAAAATACAAAGCACATTCATATTTGTGTACACTTTAAAGAGGTGTTGGCTGCGGAAGAAACATTTGCATTGCATGAGACATTGCACCGACACGGTAGCAGCAGCACCAAAATCGCATTTGCGTCAAGTATTTATTTGGGGGGGTAAATTTGTTCAACAGGAAGCCTGCACTGCCACTGCCATTGCAACCAGGTGGCAGTAAGCTGGGACTCAGTGCAGAAAAGAGCAAAAAGGAAACAGTCAACACAACACTTGCAATATCCGTCGTCGTGTGGCATCATCCTCTCTATAAGCACTTGTCGTGCAAGTGCCGCATTTTCCTAGGTAAATCGACAGGAAAATCGCCATTGACAGTTGTCATGTGCAATGTGCAAAGCCACTACGCTGCGCAGACAATCCAAGCCATCCGCGTTGCGGCAGCACATTGCGGATTTCTCGTGTAGCACTTGAACGCAAATTTAATTCTTTCGCTTCGTGAGCGCTGAACGGCTACTACGACAACTTACCTGAATATGTGCTCGAAGCAAACGATGCGCTTGACTTTCTGTATGAAGACGTTGGAAATTTGGCAGAGTAAAATCTGCATTTTGTCGTCGCGGCAATAGTAGCTGGACATAGTCCAGATGTGGCGCAGACCCACCATGACGTTGGGTATGAGTAAAGTTGTCATTTTGAAGCTCTCATAGTCACGAATTTTCTGCAAATAGGTGAGAAGAGAGAAAGAAAAGAAAAAAACACAATTAAATAAAAAATGTTAAGTGAAAATTATAAGAAATTGCTTTTTAACGGTAGAAAAGAGAGAACAAGGCTAGGACAGGATAAGATAGGATAGAATAGGGAGTGATGTGATGAAACTGATAATATGGACCAAGTGAAGGCATATACATAAATGTGTGATTTCTATGCCCTTAATACCTTTTTTCTGGCCGAAACTAATTGCGACTAAATAAGTATATGGGTCAAAATCGTGGAGGTAGAGAATTTAGTTGCTGTAAAAGAAAATATTTTAACTTAATTATTAAATTTATTTTACACTGTTATGAATTGGATTTGGTCGTCGTCAATTTTGTTTATGACCGGGCAGAGCACGAACGTGCATATTTTTTAATTTATCGCGAAACGTACTGAATTGTTGACTAAAAAAGTAATTTCGGGAACGTTTTTAAAACGTTAAAGAATAATAAAAGATTTACCCGGATTTCGTACGGCGAATATTTGTAAGAGTTTGTATAAATTACCGAAAAATCTCAAATTCAATTAAAACATAATATTCAAAGTATATTTTATTTGCTCACCACAATCCTGGAACGTTCCCTAAATCACGATACCACCATTATCGTATTTTCTCCTTTTATTATAATTTTAAACCAAATATTTTTGAGTTTACGTTATATGTGCCGCGACTATATATTTTGATATAAATAAGAATATTCAACTTTAACATAAGCACCTTTATGAGAATGAGAAATTTTCTTCCGGCAACTTTTTAATTAAAGTCAAAAAGCGAATATTTCGATCTGTTCAGCAAAAACAAAGGCAACTAGTTATTAGTTAATCAAATCAATCCACTTTGACAGGATTTTTGACCAATCGAATTTCCTTTAATGGATAATAAAAAAATTACCAAAGTTATTTATCGGCCATTCCGGATACAATAAAATTTAAGCAAAAATTTATTTAACTGAACCGAACAAAAATAATTAAAGAAATCAGTTTAAGTGGTTCAAAGTTATACGGTAAAACAAAAAATACGACGAATTGATAACTTTCTCCTTTTTGGAAGTCGATTAAAAATAGCCAGAATTTATCAAAATGTTGCTGGCTTAAAAGCCTGATCACAAGTTTATATATAGTACCCACCTACTTCGATTATTCGCCTTATTTCCAAAACGAAATTTCGAGTTATTCGAAAAATTGCTATAAAAAAAATGTACCCCATTTTTAAATTAAGAAAAAACCGTTTAAACCAGTTTTATTTTACATAGCTTTCTTACAGTGAAAATGCGGAGGTTGCAATGAAGTCATGACCAAAAAATATTAAACTTTAGATTTCTCCACTTACGGGTTTCCCTTAAACTGGAAAAATCCTTGAAAACTTCGAAAAACTCGAAACTTTTATTGGGAGGTCAAGATTTGAATGAAATGAGAACACCGGTTTTTTCGAAAAAAAAATCCGGTATATGCGATATTCGAAAAATAAAGATTTAAAAAAACCGCCCATAGATATCTAATAAAATCGGTGTAAAACAGTTTGCTAAAGCCGAGTCAATCACCCCAGTAGATAGCCAAGAAGCCATAACTGAGGGGATCAAAAACTAAATTTTGTAAAAAAATGGACTTGGCACCTTTCCACCTTAAGTAGCGATATATTAAGATTACTTGTCGAGTACAAGCACCTGCATTCTAATATCTAACTGTTTTCTTACCTCCAAATAATCAGTGATGGTGGAAATGTAGTCCGAGTTTTCTTTTGAAAGGTAGTAGTATTCCTGTAGGTCATCCATAAATACATCCCAACGTTTGATTATAGGTGAATTGGTATTTCGCAAGATATCTGCGTAGATTTTTAAATTACTTAAAAAAATATTCCCTCACCTTATTGGAAAGGCAATTCAGCTTACCCAGTACTGTCAGTACAAATTCAGATTTCAATTGTTCCAAGACAGAATACAACTCGATTTCAGCATGATGCCAGATACGATAGGCGGCCATTGGCGTAAATTCGTCCAGTTGCTGAGGGAGAGACACAATTTTAGAAAAGATTTATATTCTTAGGCATCACATCATTCATTTAGTCTCCCCTCCCCTCTTCACTCACTGACTCACTCACCATTTCTTTGAGCGCTTTGATGCGCAATTCCACAAAATAAATCCAACCATGCACAATGTCTTCGAGTATTTCTTGTGAGTATGTCGCTATCAAATCGAGCTTTTTTACATCAACTTGTATCTTCACCTTTGACTCCTCGAATTCAACATCCTCCTGTCCTGGCGCTGTGTAACCAGTTGGTAAATCAAATGCGCGCATACTATGTTTTGTTGTCCATTCCACTTCGGCCTCGAACTCGCCCATTTCTTTGAGTAGATTTTCCTGATAAGGCGGCAACTTTTCCACAGTTGTCTCCTCCTCGAGGCGTTGGCGCTCGACAGCAGCGTTCGTCTCTTGCAATAGTTGCTCCCAGCGTTCGGTAATGGTTAATTTGGGTTTCTCTGGTTCCTCTGGTAATTAAAGTGAATAATTGAAATAAGCTATGCAGGTCCCAAAGGATGGCTGCATAGTGAGTGGAAAAGCGGTTGGACAGCGGTTAACTAACTACGCCGTTTAAGTAATGCCGGAAGCGACACCACATCAAACGAAATTGCATCGACCCATGTCAGCGGTTGCTAACAGCAGTGACGACAGGTTGACTTGTTGACATCGCGACCCAAGTGACTTATGTATGCCGTGCCGCTACATACCAGTAAGGTGAACAAGTACACTTTATATATAAATACATACATACATATGTATGTAGTTAGTGAGACTGGCGTAATTAGCCAACGCAGCTTTCACACCCACGAGCGGTCATTTACGTTGCGACACCTACCCAATTGTTCAGAAGACGAAGACGAAACAACATCTTCTACTTTTGCCTCTGGTTCTTCCTCCGCTTCCTGCTCATCCTCGTCCTCATCGTCAGCATCACCTTGACCTTCCTCTAGTTTCTTGCTTGGTCTTCTTTTTTGTGCTTGTTTTTTAAGTTTCTCCATTTTTCTGTGACGCCGGTTAACCAAATAGGGCGCATATTAATGATGAGTTTTTTCATTTTCATTTTGTTTTTGTGGAGGATTTTGATGTTGAGATTGCGCGAAACAATTCAATAAAAATAATTATTGTCGCAACATTCAAATGGATGGTCGAAAAGGTTATGCTGTCAGCACTACAAGAGGTTTCGTAACGCTACTTTTATTTACAAAACGAATGTGGAAAAAAATAAAAAAAATATCACAAAACCGACAACGAAAAGGAGGACATTCGAGCCATTTATTTTGAAAGTGGCATAAGTCACTTCAGAGCTCTTGTGCTTAAATGATCGGTAACTTGTATCTGAAGGCGTCGGTTATTCGTTCAACTTCATGAATCGAAGGTAGAAGGTTTTACCATTATTTTATGACGATAGAGCGATTTGTAAATGCATTCGGTTACAATTAGCCGGTAATTTAAGTACAAGAAGTAAGAAGTGACTTTCAAAATGAATGGCTTAACTAATGAAATGAAAAATGAAAAGGATTTGTGTAATAAAATAAAAGGAGATGAGAATTAAGTTGAATGCTATAGATAAGCTTCATGCAACAAAAGGTAGTAACAATCGACCATAAATGGGTTACGCGGTGTGAACGTTGATTGGTGAAAAAAATGTCATCAACATATTTTTTCAGCGCGCCAAGTGTGGTGGGTGGGTTAAGGGCCTTGAGTGTCTCCTTGTGAAATATTTAATCTTACACTTTGGTAATAAACGATATTACTTGGTTTTGCACAAAACAGGGTTTGCTTGAAGTGAATTCATCAGGACTTTGGATATTAGCCTCTTTAACAGAACCAGGAGTATAATAACCAACGAAAGGCTACTGTATAAAATCAGGCTTAAAATCTTATGAAACAAAGTTGGCGCTTACATATTTTACTAAGTATTTGGCCGAAGATAATCCAGTTGTAATGTTGTTTAAAAAATGGATGGTCCTATATACACTTTAACATCGCCTCCGAACTGAAGATGGTTTTCTTGTGAGCAACATTTTCTTGAATAAAACGCAATCAGAGATTTGCGACTGCCTGCCGAGAGGCGAGCGCTATGAGTAAAAATGTTGATATTAGTTGGAGCAGGAGTCGAACCTTTGTCCTACCTAGTAGTAGGGTGAACTTCTCGATGGAACTGGACAATAAACAGCTGGATTTACCGATCTTTACTAGAAAGCTTCCTATTGAAAATTTTAAGCTATGACACATATTTTTGCGGAAATCTGAGAAGCTTTTATGGCACCGTAATGCGATCTGTATTAAATTAAATTAGTAAATGTTTAAGGATAGTTCTAGCCTCTTTAATTGCAGGATATTAAGACATTCGATACATAATGACCAATAAGTATTAATATAAGCCAGATCCTTTCTTCAGGTATGTATGTATATAGGCACATCATTTAATTTTTACGGTTACTTCGTAATTTTTAGGAACTATTTATTTTACATTTAAAATGTAAGTAAGCGGTTGAGGAGCATCGATGTGAAAAGTGACTGGTTTGATAAATACACTTGTGATGGCATTAAATCCTTGGAGGACTGTAGCAAGATATTTTGTAGCTATTAACCTGAAAATAGCGAAAAACATGGACGAAAGCCACCATACATTAATATAAATGTCTTTCTTTAAATAAGAAAGCTTGGTAAGATCTATAAATAGTCTTCCCGAATTATCCGCCGGATTTCGTAACACTGAAGCGTGTATCAGGTAAAAGTTATAGCTATAAAAGAGGTGGTTGTGTACTTAATACACATGCCGTAACGAAGACTACGGTTACCTAAAAAGCTACTCTTATACCGGTTTTTGTATTAAGTGCGTTGAATCTTTACGTGCAATATATAACCTCATTTGGCATAGACAAAGCTAGTCACTATTGAAAAGCGTTAGGAAGTGTTTCCTCCATATCTCAAATGTTATC